ATTGGATCTACCAAGAGATCAGGTAAGTGCCCATGATACCTAGTGCCTAATGTGAGAGAGACTATCATTTACCTATATCATCGGCGCACTATTGATGATGTTCTATATAGTTAATTTGGGTGAAGCATAGATTTATGTCCTTTTTCCTAACATGTTGACGCTGCTGAGGATGTGAGAATGAATGAGGTAGTCATTGAAGAGATTCCAGTGTATGATCAAGTAGTGGTCAAGCATTGCATAAATATACAACTAAGAATATAATTGAAGTAAATGAGAGTAGTGATGTAAGGCAGAAAATTCATATGAGTCGAAGCAAAGGCAAGGAAAAGATGTCCAAGCATTTTGAGGATTTGACAGAAAATGAAGTAATGGATCAAATTCAACCAAGTAGTTTGAGGAGATCTAGTAGGAAAAAAGTTGTTCAACAACTAACTTTAGCATAAAGTAATGGATCATACTCCACTTCTTTCCTACAACCCCATATTCAATCATTTCATGCACAAAAGAACCATCGTATTCAAACGGTGCAACAACCCTACTAATTTAATTTCTTACCTGCTAGAATATCGTAGGTGTGTAAACAGTGGCTGTGCATCTCGCCAAATTACAAAGATGCATGTTGTGGACTAGAGAAGAATCTTCCATTAGTGTTTTATTTCAAACCCTTATGACCGAGCGGTCTAATTGTGGAATGCATTCAAACAACTTCAAATAATTTCTATTTAAAAATTCTTTCATGCATCTATTCATGCTCTCGCATTGTTGGGTGGCTATAATACTTTCTTAAAAAATGTTCCTAGCAAGGTGCAAAGTAAACACTCAGTGCCTACATTGAGGTATGACTTCTTTAATTGCATTCTACATTGCTTCATCCCCATCAGTAAACACAGAAACTAACCTTTTTTCCTTCATTAATTCCAAGAAGGTGTTCAATAACCAAATGTATGAGCTAGTGGTCTCGCTAGAAATGAAGGTTAACTCATATACCACATTCATCCTATGGTTGTTTAGGCCAACAAACAACACTAATGGCATCTCATACAATTTAATCTTGTACGTGCTATCAAACACATGCCCAAAGCAACAATGATCTGATAGCGAATTGGAGTCATTCCATTACAAATTAACCAGCCTACCTTCCTCATAAACACTAAATTTGTAGTAAAATTCAGAATAAATTGCAACTTTAGAATTCATATATTGAAGGGCTGCCTGGGAGCCACCGTGCAGTGATAATTCTTCTCTTTCCCTATTTATTGAATGTACAAGTTCTTTGTCATGAACCTGACATTATGATAGTTCCCCCAATAATCGACCATGTACTTGTATAATTGACATGTTCTTACGTAGGCTTTGAGCAAAGAATGAGCTATGACTAAATCCCTTTTTGATACAACACGATGCGATTTTAGAAAAGTGAAGTATCCCTCACTAACCAAATCATGTGAATGCTCTGTACAAGCTTCTTTAACAACATATAAATCTTCTTATTTACTATAACCAATAGAAAAACAGTTCAAGCAACCCACCCTTATTTTCGCCCTGGGGTTCTTAACTCTGTTTTGGAGATCATACCACCTCTGGTGTCTTCTGCCTTTCTTTGAAGAAACAAATTTTCATATTCGAACCCGTCCATCTTCCTTAAACTTCAAGTTGACATTCCTCACGATAAAGTTAACTTATTTTGCATATCCATAATAAAAGTTAGTTGCTATCTCCACAGTGTGAAATTTGGATCTGATTCGGACATTGTCCCTCAACTCTTGATAATATTTACATCTAAACTCTAACAAATCATACAACGGTTCACCGGTTTCAATTATCATTGCAATGTTTGGTTGTACTAATTTGTGCTACTTTACCCAATAATAATCCTTATACTGCAAAATCTGCTTAGCCTCCAAATTCTCCTTTCAACAATAGAATCTAATGACATCAATATTGTTTTTGCCACAGACGGTGCCAACTGTTTGAGCAGGATTTCTTTTAAGAGGAGATGACTCCACAGGTTCTTGACTCAAATATGCACGCTTTCTTGATTAGAAAGAACTCTAGATTGCTTCTTCAAAATCAAACGATGTGAGAAAGGAGTACCTGCAAAAGACACTCTGACGCTCCAGTTAATGTTTGTGCAGTGAACTTTGAAGGCTTAATGAAAAAATTTGTACCTTTGGCTAAGCCTTTATTGGGTTTTTATAGCACTTTAGGCCCTTAGGTTTAGCTCCACCTCACTGACTTTGTGCATCCCATCTCCCATTTCATAATCGTGGGGAGTCATTGGTTAGGTTATGCCATCCCTACCTCGCACTTCTCTAGTCGAAAGGAAGTTCAATTAAATCATATCTTCATTTACCTTTAATCATGACATATGGGTTGGGCCATGCTACATGGGTTTGATTTTCGATCCCCGCACACTCTGAGGTTGAAACTCCTTCTCATCTCTTTTTTTGTTGTACTTTTTCTCGTCAAATTTGGTCTTCTTGTTTTAGTTGGTTTCAGATGGGGATTCTTTTTTATGACTTTTTTTTTCCTTTCCCCTTCATCATGGTTTTGGCTCCTAAGTTCAAATTTTATGGTGAGGCATGATCAGAGTTGGTTGCTATTCTATTTGGGCGACTCATAATGAGTGCGTTTTGACGAACTCTCTCATTTGGTTTCCTTTATTGTTTATGCTATTAAGTCGCAGTTGATTGAGATTGATTCTCTTAGCACAAGAACTAAGTGCAACTCTGTGTATGATCTTTGTATTCTTCGTTCTATTGGGGTCCAAGGAAGTCGAGGTAAGACTCCTCATATTCTTGAAATGATTTGTTTTTCTCCCTAGTTTATTAGGGTGATTGTCCACCTTCCGTGACTTTTTTTATTTTTTTCATAACCTTTCTTCTCGACCTAATTAAGGTTTTACTAGTTTGGTTATTTTCTTCTTTATTAGCGCTTAGTCCTACTATATGTCTTTTCAGGGTTTTGGCTCTTCGACCCCCTCATTGTATTATTTTTTCTCCTTTTTATATAAAAAAAAATTTATTTTAAAAAAAAATTTATTTTTTATTTTTTAAAAAAAATAATATAGGGAGGTGGGCGGGGGGCTTCTAGAAGTGTACGTCCCTTCTCCTTCGAGATTGAGGGTGGATGCTTACATCCTGTGACCTTTACTAAGGAGCTAATCTTGTCTAATCCTCTATTATTTAAAATAAAAATTTAAAAAATTTAAAACTAGTGAGTTAGATGATAAAACCAAATTACTTAATGGGTTTGGTGTTGTGTGATGAGTGTATTATGGTGTACCTGAGCTATTTTGGGTAGTTAAATAGGGTGTGCTTTGTTAATTTGTATTTTGATTTAAATATTATGGTGTACTCAATTAATTTTAGGGTTCGTTTAATAACACCCTTACTTAATGCATATTTGCCATTATAACATGCAATTCCACCCCTTTCTCCCTTTCCCTTTCCAACCTTTTAATTTAGTGTTCGTTCTATGATAAAATACGATATGAAATCGAATATGTCCATTTACGAAAAAACTAGCTAAACTTCTAATAACTCATAAGACGAGTTCGTTTGCCAAATATTCAAATCAACTTACTTGGCTCTGTAGCTTCTTCTTCAGTGGGTGTCTTCCTTGCCTTCCTTCACTAATGTCTTCCTTAGTTTTTTGGGAGATTCACTATCATACCCAATATATGAGCTCAAATTATATATATAAAAAATCTCACATAAAATGGACTTGAGAAACACACCCAAAACTCATTTACAACATAACAAAGAGGCTTCGAACTTTACATAAATTACAAAACTGCCATTGATTTCTTAAAACAAGCCCAACCCCAAAACCTCATTAAAAAAAAAACTCAAAACACTCAATAGGGTATAAAAGTGATTTAATAATCAAAATTAAATTTAATAGGGTCAACTGTCAATTTTTGGGTTTGTTTATAAAAATTAAATGGTATAAGGTTTATCTATATCATTAGTACTAAGAATAGGTATATAACTAAATATCTCTAGTTTCTTTGTTGCCCATGTAACTTCTTCCTTTAACATTGATCTAACATGAGGTGGAATGAGCCACAATTCATTGCGAATTTCGTCAACAAAGTGGTTTGGGAATTGCATATGTAGCTTCTTCCTCTCACACTGATAAAGTGATAAAAAAGATGAAATCAAATAAATTGGTTGACAAATTCCCTAACAGAGAGAAGAATCAGATGACATAGTGATTTGGGAAAACGTGAACAGTAACAATTATGAACCCTAACCCAATCGCCCACAACACAGAGAAGAAACAGGTGAGAGAGAGAGAGAGAGAGAGAGAGGAGAGAGAGAGAGAGAGAGAGAGAAGAAGAAATAAGGTGAGAGAGAGGATGTGTCGAGTAGGATTACATATAGGAAGAGATTGGTGTAGGGGTCTTTTTATTCCAGCAGCCTGACGAATGGGCTTGGGTTGCCGAAAAAGAGAAACATGCATGAAATTTCCCCTTGAGTCTGAGTTCAAGGATCAAGCCCCAAGAGTGTTTCGAAAGGGTAGCTGAGCCTTAGGAAACACTTTGGTATTCTTCACCAATGAAACCAACAATCGCTTACAGATAAATTCTTAGCTTGGCATGAGAAGCATGTGGCAGGGGAGCTGAGCATCCGTGAGTTTAGCATGAGAGAAAGAAGGCTTGGGTTTCCTACGAGGAACAGATGCTTGAAGTAATGATTTCGTGATGATTTGCTGAGGAGAGAGAGAGAAAGACAGACAGATTATGGTGGATGAACAGGTGCTTTGGGTAATTTTTCAACAGCTTGACGAAAGCTTCGTCAGGCTTTGTATTGGCTTGACATAGGAGAAAAAGAAAAGTAATGGAAGGACAAGGCTTGAAATCTAAGGGTTCTAGATATGAGAGGTGATGTTTGCTCTCTCTGGATATGGTTGCTTGCCTTCGATCGGAAAGAGAGGAAGAAGATAGAAGCATGGGTGGCTTTAGTAGATTCCTGGGTTGCATGACAGAAGAGAAAATGGGGAGAGATGGAGGAGTAAGGCTCGAAATTGCAGTGGTTTCAGGGATGAGAGATGATGCTTGCTCTCTGGATGTGTGGTTATGGAAAAAGAGGAAGAAGATGGAAGAACAAAACATGAAATTGAAGGATTCTAGAGGGGATGCTTGCCTTCGATCGGTTTGTTGTGTCTTTGTTGGGAAGAAAGTGCTTCCTTTTATAGGTGTTGGAAACCTTAATTTTGTCAAGCCTCCCTCCCCATTTTCTTCACTTTCTTCCATTTAATCTTGTTTGGTGAAATTTCCCTATCCTGAACCCATAGGCACACAGCTTTTTGGAGTTTCAAGACCTCGGGCAGCTAGACTTCTCCATGTGGGTAAGGAGCCACCCATTTTTGTTTCTTGTTTTCTCACCAAAGCTTGAAGAGGAAAGAATAAGTAAGGGCGCTTGGTCAAAAAGGTGATCAGGACATGGGTTTGCTTGGTTTTGGTGGTTTGGCTGTGATCTGGTTTTAACAAAGATGCATGACGTTGGATATTTTATAAGGTGCTGGGCTGGGCTGTTTTGTTTCCAACGGTTTGTGAGTTCCTTTTGATTTCGTCAGACTGCTGGAAGTTTTGGCTGATGTGAGATTTTTTATGGGCTATGGCTATTGGATATTTTTCTAAGATGTTTGGGCCTTTTCTTAAGGTGATGGGTTATTGGGTTTTCTCTCATGCTTACCCATATGTTTGGACTCAAGGAATGAGCTTGAGTTTTGGTGCTCCCAAGTAGCCCAAAACTTCTATTCCTTGGATCATCAATGGGTCTTGTGAATACTCATAACCATCTATACCACAACCCGCTCAGCAAGCTCCAGGCATTCGTGTGGCTTGGGCCCACTTAAGCTTGTAGCGTGGCATGTTGCTTGAATTAGGATTTTCCGTTTGGTGTTATACTAGGCCGAAAATATTTTTGGGCCCAGCCTTGGATTTTTTGGGTCTCAACAATCGGTTAACTAGTGTAACTGGTAATTATTTCCCTCCAATATTATTTTGGGAAATTTTCTTCTCTTTTTAAAAGCTTATAAGTTAGGAGCCATTGAATTCAAATGGACAGCCCATATTATGGTATTTAGATGAACTGTATTAACGGTACTCAGTACTTAGGGTATTAGAGAAAAATCGTTAATATAACTCATGAAAAAATTCAGGGACTATTGGTCCAAATTAGCCTTTTAACTTTTAAAGGCCCAACATGAAATTTTTAGTTTACACATGTAAACTAAAAATTGAGTTAATAAACTAAAATGTAACTCGATGATAAATTCAAGACTCATTACTCCAAATTAACCAAAATTAAGCCATCTTAATTTGTTTTCGGGTCTAAAAATTTACCCATCTTGCACTAAAAAGTTAAAGTATAAAAATAAAAGTAAAGAACATTCCTTTGAATCCTTGTTGATGGTTGATACTTGTCGCGTTGTCCGACTTGTAATCTAAAAGCTCAATGACGTGGCTCTCCACATGCACGTCCCGGACACCTGTAATGCCAACAAAGCTAAGACACAAGCTTTCCTTTTATTTTTTCATTCTCTCTTTTCTCTTTTTGCTAAAACTCTTGCTTAAAGCCTCAAATCTCAGCTTAGCGCACACACCGAAAGTCGCCTTCTCTTTACTAGAAACCCACAGATCTCTCTGCAACACAAAACTATGGAGACTTCAGCATCGCCTCCGCCACCAACCACCTCACCCACCAAACCAAAGTTTCGCATTATGTGCAGCTATGGCGGCCACATAGTCCCCAACCCACGCTCCAAGTCCCTCTGCTACATTGGCGGCGACACTCGCATACTCTCAATCGACCCCACCACCGCCTCAACTCTCTCTTCTCTCACATCCCACCTCGCAGCCACTCTCTCTCTCCCCGCACCGCTGTTTCTCAAATACCAACTTCCCCGCCACGACCTCCTCTCCTTAGTCTCTCTCTCCACCGACGACGACCTTCTCATCTTCCTCGACGAGCTTCGCCGCCTCTCCAATTCCGCCTCTCGGATCAGATTGTTTGTGTTTTTCGACAAGACCCATCATCAGTGTAAGGCAATTCAGCACCCAAAGACTGAGTCTTGGTTCATTGATGCGCTGGAGAGTGCTAAGATTGTGATGCAGAAGGGGATGAGGAGTAATGGGTTGGTGGGTTTTGAGGCCGAGAGTCAGAGTCAGAGTGAGTGTTTGAGTGGTGGTGGTAGTAGGCAATTTTTGAGCTGTGGGGTTGGTGGTGGTGGGTCTGTGGCTGCAGAGTCCATTGTGTTGGAGACTAGCTCGTCTTTTGGGTCTACTTCATCTTCAGCTTCTTTGTCTAGTTTGCCCTCTGTTAGAGCTCGAGATGAGGATGTTATGGCTGGTACATTGCTAGAAAATAAGGTCAAAGTGGCTACTGGGGAGTCCATTGCACGGTACTTGCTCTGCTATACTTTCTCTGTTTCTTAATCAACTTTCCATTTTTTTCCCTTTTTCAGCTTCTTTGTTCATTCCTGCTAGAAACTGTTATTAGGCTCAGTTTTGAGGAGGATGTTTGACGTTAAGGTTCTAGATATTAGAAATTGACTACCCTTTTCTAGATTTCCTAAATTGCATTTTCAGAGCAGTAATATTAGATGTTTGAATTGGGTATTTGGTTTTGTATGTGGCAGTGAACATAGTGTTGGAGTTGGAAATGGCATTTCTCTTTCGCAGACTGACGCAGTGATTAATGTTGCTTCAATGGAGAACAGGGTTTCTCATAACTATGCTGAATCAGATATTAAATTTAGTGATCCTAATTTTTCTGGGATCCAGAAAACAGTTCAGGCGTCTGGATATTATCCAGTGACTCCACAACTAGATCAGCTTCAGCAACCGAAACTACAATTCGTTCAAGTAGGTACCCATTACATACCCCAGAATCCTGTTGGGATGTTGCCAGTTTCATCATACTACCCAATGTACCATCCGCAGCTGCATCAGCAGCAGCTGCAACACTTACACTATCAGCCCAATCAGCCGTACCCGATATACATCTTGCCTGCTGCACCAGCACAACCTTACAATTTGCCAATGCACGGTAGCTCATTCCCTATAGCTCATGGTCATCCCCCGTTGTATCCAAATGCTTCCTGTATCCCTCCCCAAGCAACTCAGAATGAACCTATTAAAGCTGGTGTTTCATCTGATTTTGCTTCACGAGTGTACAGACCAGTCCATTCAGAAATGCCACATAATGGAGGAGTGCCACTTATCCATGTTCCATATGATGGAAATCAGCAACAACCATCAGGTGTTTCTGAAATGCAGCATGAAACTACTGCGATTGCTTCCAGGGAATCTCCTAAATACAGTAATGAGCCTGATAATGACCCTGCACGTGACCTGATATACAAATCTCAGCCTTCAGCACCGTCATTGGCTTACCAAAGCATGACCAAAGATACAATACATTTATCGGAAGCCTTGACTCAGTTTCATATAGACAACCGTAAACAACAGACTGGGAACTTGGACTCACAATAGTTATACTTTCTAGAAGGAACCATTTTGTGAGATGTTTTGTGGTAACTCCAACTTTCTTTGTTGGCTCTCATTTTGGCATGTGAATGTGTTATTCGTTTGTTGTAGCAACAAAGAACTTGAATCTTCTTTGTCTTCTTTTTTCCCACCTTTTTGTTGTCTGCTCTATGCTGTAATTTGATAGTATATGTATTTAAGTATATACTAGAAGTCACAGAAGAGTGATGCATAAGTTCAATCTAATGTAAGAGGATTTATTTAACTCTTTTAAAGTGCCGATGTGCTAGTATCTCAACCTAATGAATTCGTGTGTGCAGCAAATAGATTTGCTGAAGGACTTAACTTTCTTTTCTCAAATATATGAAATGTAACTGTTTGTGTCATTTGTTGGAAGTATGTATGTTCATATGTATGTGTCGCCTCTTTTCAATCTTGGGGATAGGGGTATTGATCATTTGTGTCTGTATCTGTGTAGTCTTTTTTCTGCTGTGAATAAATTAACTGATGCTTTAAGTAGGGTCTCTGGTGTACTTCTGAAATGTAACGTTGGGGATAGGAATATTATCTATTATTTCTTGATATAATTAATTCACTTTAACGTAAGTTCTTTTTAAAAGCTGTAAACTTGTCATGAATTAGGACCGAAAATTGAGATAATGGTTATACTATTGATAATTCCTGATCGTTGGCCTGTGGCAGTGATCATCATGTTTGTGGTTTTTATGAGCCCCTTTGATGGAGAGCAGAGTATGATGCTCTGGCTTCAGGAACTAAGTCACCCCCTTTTTCACATGGGAACGACATTCACCTTCCTCTGTTCCATGCTAAATTTGGTATTCTCTTCTTCCTAGTATCTCTGCAATTTTATCTTTTATCTTAATCTGAGACACCAGAGCATGAAGACATATGCTTCAGGAAGATGAAACAGCCATGCAGTTTTTTCTTAAGTTGTTTTTCTTTGCTCGGTGTCCTTTCTTTGTGTCTTACCAGGTACTTTGAATGTGTATCAAATCATTCAAATGTAACTTAGGCATGTCCTATATGTTCTTACATTAATCGTTGGCAGTCAAGCCAATGAGTTTGACTGTCAATTGTTGGTGCTTTGCTTCTGAAGATGGGGTGATGCAGTAATTTTGGCTGCGGCATAAACAAGGGTCAGGAACCGCTAATTGTTCATGTTATTATGACATACAATTTCAAGAGAATAGAATGCAAGAAAACAAATCATTGATTAATTGAACAAAATAAGAAAAACTAGGCAGCAGAATTCTTACAAGGAGGCAGAAATATGTACAATTGCCTTATCTGTTGTGCTATATAACTCATGAACATGATCAGTTCCTTTTTATTTGTTTCTGACCTTGCACTAGTTCTCAGTAAGTGGATTAGGCCAACCTGGCCAAATTGTCACAGACAAATCTCATAGAAGGTCTCCTTTCAGGGGCTTTATGAGCACAAGCAAGAGCCATTTTCAGTACTGCAACAATCTCCTCTTCCATGTCTACATCAGGAGCTAGGAAAGGGTCTAACAGATCAACGAGCGGCTTCCTTTCATCAATGCTGAGCTGAAACCATTGAATCAAATCCATTTCCAAAGAACCAATTCTTTTAAAGGGCATCTTTGCAGAAATCATCTCTAGTATAATTACCCCAAATGAGTAAACATCCCATTTCTGTGATGGCTTGGTAACTTTAGAGGCTTCCGGAGCTTTATAAAAAGTCCCTGCTGCAGCTAGTGAGCTTGCTACCCTTTGCACGTATGGAGAATTCTGAGGTGGTGTTTCAGTCATGATTTGTTCAAGTTGAAATGATGAAGAGGAGGAGGATTCTTCAGTTAAATTAGCAAGGCGACCTAATCCAAAATCAGAGATATGGGGTTCCATGTTTTGTCCAAGCAGTATGTTGCTAGGCCTTAAGTTTCCATGGACATATTTTCTGGGACTGAATTCATGAATATAAGCCAAGCCTTTTGCCAAGCCTTTGATGATTCTGAGACGAACAGGCCAAGAAAGAGGTGTGAAGGATACCATTCCAGATTTGCCTAGTGAAGTCATATATCAGATGCTTAGTGTGTTGAAAAAATAGGTGAAAAGCTCAAGACAAATTAGAAAAGAAAATTATAGAGTTCGATGCTTAATGTGAAGTCATATATCAGATGCTTAGTGTGTTGAAAAAAAAAGGTGAAAAGCTGAAGACAAATTAGAAAAGAAAATTATAGAGTACGATGCTTAATGTGAAATCATATATCACTTTACAATGGTAAAGTTTACGACTTTTAGAGTTTGATACATCAAATTTTTTTCATCTCAGTCGCATACACAAAGTTGATTTTCTTACCAGTTTCATGCATGACATCTGTCTTTCTGTTAACAAGTCTGTTAACTGTTGATGTGGCAACAAATGTGCCCCGTAAAATCTTAAAATTAAAAAAACAAAAACAAAAATCTCTCTCTCTCTCTCTCTCTCTCCTTGCTCTGTCGCCCCGCAGCCCCCATCGAACCCACACCCCCAACCCCAACTCCACCATACAACCACCCTCGTCTCCACCCGAGATCCACCCCTAGCCCCACTCGAGACCCATCCAGATTCTCTCTCTCTCTCTCTCTCTCTCTCCCTCTCTGCAAATTCAAAAATTGAAAAGAAAAAAAAATTAAAACACTTTGCATCTGGGATATATGTGGACCACATGGTCTCATATGAGTGGATCTACGTGGCACATTTGTTGCCACATCAGCAGTTAACAGACTTAGTAATAGAAAGACCGACGGCATATTCGCCCCACAGCCCCCATCGAACCCACACCCCCAACCCCAACCCCAACGCCACCATACAACCACCCTCGTCTCCACCCGAGATCCACCCCTAGCCCCACTCGAGACCCATCCAGATTCTCTCTCTCTCTCTCTCCCTCTCTGCAAATTCAAAAATTGAAAAGAAAAAAAAATTAAAACACTTTGCATCTGGGATATATGTGGACCACATGGTATCATATGAGTGGATCTACGTGGCACATTTGTTGCCACATCAGCAGTTAACAGACTTAGTAATAGAAAGACCGACGGCATGTATGAAATTGATAAGAAAATCAACTTTGTACATGCGACTAAGATGAAAAAAATTTGATGTAACAAACTCTAAAAGTCAGCAAACTTTACTCTAGTAAATTGAAAATTACCCAAAATAAAATATGTATTAACAAGCAGAAAGATCAGTTTAAAGTGTCTGAAATTTAATTTTGTTGGTAGAGGTTAGGGAAGGTTACCATGAATTGCAGAAGCAAGGTCACCATTAGGGATATAATCATATATGAGCAGTTTCTCATCAACAGACCAGCAATATGCTAAAAGAGTCACAATGTTTTGATGTCTGATCTTTCCAATTGCTTCAATTGCAGTTTGAAATTCCCTGAACCTTTGGGAACCTCCATCTCCCAATCTTCTCACTGCTAGGGTTCTTCCGTCTTCAAGAACAGCTTTATACACAATCCCAATTCCACTTTTACCCAGAAGAAAAGCAGATGCTTTTAACAGTTTCTCAAGATCTAAGTTCACCTGTAGGTCCACTTGCACAAAATGGTAGTGCTCCAGATTCTCTGATAGGGTCTCCAAGCCATCTTTTGCAAAGCAAGAAAAGTCTTTTCTAGCCATAAATTTATGCTCAAAGCTGCATCCAACAAAATGTTCACTTACTTTGCAAGCACAAACCTTCTTGTACCAGTTGGAGAACAACAGCCCAGCAATGCAGATTCCAATCATGACACCTGCAATGACAGTAATTACAAAGATACCTGAGCTTGAGTTGCTGTGTTTCCCATTCATACCAGGGCTTCGACCTGTATTTTGAGACTGGTTGTCAATCAAGGACTGAGAATTTGAGCCTGGACTGCTAGAAGGACATGAAATCTTCGATGGGAGTCCACAGAGCAAAGGGTTTCCTACAAAAGCTGTTGGACCTAAATTGAACAGAGCACCATTCTGTGGAATAGGTCCACTGAGATTGTTGTAACTGAGATCAATATAAACTGTCTCAGGCAGGGCTCCTAGGCTTGCTGGAATCGAACCGTTGAAGAAGTTGTGAGACATATCAAGGGTTGCTCTTAAACTTGACAAGTTGCTCATGTCCTCAGGGATTGAACCGCTGAGATTATTGAAGGAAATATTGAGCTTTTGAAGACTAACCAAACTGGTTCCTATACCATCTGGAAGGGAACCAGAGAAATGGTTTTCACCGAAAACAAGCATCTTTAGTCTCTTGCATTGAACTATAGATGAAGGTATTGAACCATTGAATGAATTTTGCGAAAGATCTAATGTTTGCAGGTAACTGAGCTTCCCTATATCAGCTGGAACCGAACCAGATAATGAATTTCCTGATAGCACCAAGCTCTGCAGCTCTTTTGCATTGAAAATCTCATATGGCAAGCTTCCGAAGAGCTCATTGCTCCGGAGATTCAGATGGCGGATTGCAGAGAGGTTTCCAAGAGCAGGAGAGAAAATCCCATAAAGATTTCTGCTTGGAATGCTTAGAGATACAACTTTGTCTTGTCTGCATGTGACTCCAGTCCATGAACATGGGGTTTGGTCTGAAGAGTTCCAGTTACTCAGAGAGCCTTCAGGGTAGTGCATTAAGGATTCTTTGAATGAAAGTAGAGCCAATCCTTCTTCGTTTACACAACTTATAAATGCAAGAGAGTTGCATACAAGGAAAACCAAGTAAAGCACTAGCAAAACCATCTTAGCAAAAGCAAAGTTCTTGCCAAAGAAGAAATCAAAATGCCAAGGAGCAAACTGGGTTTTATGAGGACTGATGAGGGGAAGCAAAAACAGATGGAGAGAGAGAGAGAGAGAGAGAGAGAGAGAGAGAGAGAGATGACAAATTTATTCTTGCTGATTCTTCAAGGACATGTATGTAAAGTAGGCATTAGTGGTGACCAAGAAAAAAGGTGATGCTGACTATAATCTCTACTAAGAGAGTAAGTAAGACGTTGCTTTTTGTGGGCCCTCCTTACTGCTAATTAGATATAAACACAATGTTTTTTTGTCTCTTAAAACCACTCAAAGAAGGTGATTGATTTGTTGTAATCTCCGAATATATTTATTCTTCAAACTTGAGCGTAGGATATATGCTTGAATTTATTGTCAGCCATGAAGAGGTTCCTTTGATTGCTAATCATTATAGGGAGGCGCGGTCCATCTTTAGTTATTAAGCGCAATTGGAGGCGATGTTTGTGTGTGTATTGATTGCCGCTGAAAGTGCAAGGGAAAGATTTGGTGTGGTTAATTTTAGTTTGACCAACCCATGGGCATCCATGGCCCAGCAAATTGACTTAAGGAAAATCCAGCCATGAGACAATGGAGTTCGAAGACTGGAGCAGAAAGAACAAGCTTGGTTAGTCTTCTCTCCACTTCATCATGTTTTGGTGTTTGCACCACAAATAAAATAAAAAATACCTTTTTTCCCTTAAACATGGTCCATATATCGTAGTTGTTAACCAAATATCTGACTCTTGGTTAGCACCTGTATTGGATCTAAATATTTGTTAGATAATTACTGGATTTAAAAACCCTACGCAATTAGGAAATGAATCAACAATGTATATCGAGCCAACACTCTCCTTCACGTGTAGTGTAGCCCCCATTCATCCTCCATGTAGAGAGACAGAGGTCGGGAATGGCTATTGAAGGCAGTGGCAGATTCAGGATTCAAAAGTCAGGTAGGAGAAACTTATCTTAAAAACTCGATGGTACAAGTGAATTTCAAAAGTAGGGCCCCCCTCTCTACTCTCAGGTTTTGTTTTTGGAAACTCACAAGCAACTTCCCAATGGGCCACCCATCCTGGGATTGCTCTAGTCCCTAACTCGCTTAACTTTAGAGTTCCCATGACTCCGAAGCCAGTGAGCTCCCAAAAAGGCTCGTGCTAAATGGAGGTGGGCATGTACATATAAGGCACATCACCCCCTCTCCGTTGGTCGATATGGGATGTTACAAATTCATTAGCTTTGGTGCTCCGAAGTCTATTATTAATAATTCTCATATATGAAAAAACTCGTTTCGTTGTTGTTGTAGAAGCAGGAAGAGTCAACACAAACCGAATCAACCTGTAAAGCAAATGGTAGTTTTCTACCAAAGTTGTTTCCACCAATTGTTGACATAACTGAGGAAAAACCCCAAATTATAATTAATTCCTAATTAAACCCTAGAATACTCAATTTCAAATTAAAATTAAAATTAAAATGCATACATTTATTTTAGGAAAACCCCAATAAAAGAAGATAATTAAATAGGAGAGAATAAGAAAAATACTTATTGGCCTTAGATATGAGAAGATGCTTCCAAGAGAGAAAGTCAAGACTCAAGAAGAAGCTTCCGAGGAAAATGATTTGGGATTGTCGACTATTGCACAGCCGAAAGGGAATTGACTGCTAATATTGCTTGTCTCCCTTGCTCTCTAAGTATTTAGCTCCATATTTCCAGTTGGAAGGAATGAACACGTGTTAGGCTCTGCCTATGTCTTTGCTCGATCATGTAACTCATTTAGCTGTTTTATCTTTGGCACTAGCAGTGTTTTGCTTTTGGCCCTTGTTAAATTTGGTTGGTTTTCAACCTTGTCACCATGTTGTTTCCCTTTGTGGCTGGGCCCTCTCGATTTGTACCTTTGTAGCAATTTCTTTGTCGTCTATTGAATGCAACACTTCAGTTCAAAAATATTTCTTTTTTTTTTTTTTTTTTTTTTTTTTTTTTTTTTTTTTTTTTTTTTAAATGAATAAGTTTGCCATCTCATAACACAAGTGGGTGGGGTGTTTGTTGTTTTCATAACACATGTGGGTTGCTTTTAAATTTGGGTAGGCATGAGTTCACACTATCACATGGGCTGGGTATGAATAGCTTTGCTTAAACATGGATTTTTTTTTATAGTGAAAATTTGGGGTAGGCAGTGCCTACCCTGCCCTTGTTGTAGGGCCGCCACTGATTGAAGGCTCGGACTTTGGAGGTTTCGAACCTAGAACCCCTTGAATTCCAAAAGCTTAGAGCACCTTCATCCCAAAGGGCAATGGCAAGGCAAAGGCAAGGCAAGGCTTGTCACCATTCACGTGAATAGTGGCAGCTCTTACCATTTTTGTTTCCACCCCAAAGGGCAAGGGCAATTACTATTAATTTTAATTTATTTTCTATTTTTTTATACTTAAATCATTAATTTTGACTTGGGAAGTGAAGAATATGACTAGATATTTATATATAAAAAATTCTGAAATTTTTGGTTTTTTTAATTATTTTTTTCGTTGTTGACATCATTGCTTTTTGGCTTGCCCAGGCTTGACTGCCCCGTCTTGACATTGTGTGTGGAGCCAATTGCTGGGCCTAGGTCCCCTCCTGCCTGGGCAAAAGAGGAGCGTTGGAAGTGCTCTTAGTTAGCAAGCCCCCTCTGAAATTTTTGGTTTTTTAATTTTTTGTTGTTGCTGACATCATCAATGACGTCAGCAAGCCCAGACAAGATTTGCCTTTGGGCCTACCCAGGCTTGACTGCCCCGTCTTGACGTTGCGTGCTGGAGCCAATTGCTGGGCCTAGGCCCCCCCTGCCCGGGCAAAAGAGGAGCGCTGGAAGTGCTCTTAGGGTGATAGGAAACGATAAACGGTGTACATCATGTAACATGTTTCAAATTGAGAGTCAAGTGTGTTTTAGGAATTCAAGTACAGATAACATTAAATAAAATAATTCTGGAAGTTCCTTCCAATTCTAGCCTTGATCAAAATAAAACAATCTTGGTGTATAATTAATCTGCTTTGACCTCTGTGTTACTGTGCACTAATATTTGTGTTCACTTGTGCTGAACTTTGATAGGCACCATCTCTGATTAAATATGTTGTAGATAGATAACAAACCAAGTATACAGGAAAGGATACAAGAGTTTTTATCTTTCTTTTTTACCTGCCTCTGATCTCCTACCTATGATGCATTTAGACTATTATTTTCTCATCTTTGTTAACGTATACAACAATAGAGCAGCATATTCAGAATACTTAAAGGCAGAACGTACCAAAAACACATCTGAAATAAGACTTCTATCAATGAGCATGACCACAACAATGACCTCTTCTATTTATTGACACAAGAGCATTCAACATACAATTACATACATGAATGTGCCACACTCTAAGCCCACAGCTATACACTTGGATATCTATCACACACGCTTGCGGTAAGTCAAAAGCTAATGGAGCAGTACTTATTTGAAAAAAGCAAAGCTACAAGCTCCCAAAGCTCAAACTATGTGAGTGTAATTTATTCATTTGATAGACTAGATTCACTTGGCCAATGAGTATGTAATAAACTTCAAATAGCTCACACTTCTTTGACAATTTTCTTACCACTAAAAATCTTGGCCAGATTAGGCATTACCTTTTTTTTCTTCTGGATTGGGAAAGTATTCCGAGCTCCAGGAGAAGCAGATTTTCTATACTTAGATCGCCTGGATGGAGTCAAGTTTCCATTGCTTTTCATAGATTTTCTAGGCTGTGCTTGTTGTCGGTTTCCGTGTACTGCATTTCTCTCCCGCTTTTGTCCCAAGTTCTGTAATTCTCCCTCAACCCTCATCTTTCTAGAAAGCTGCCTTTCTGTTCTATAGGTCACTTGCTCTTCCTGCACTCTCATCTCTTTGAGATCTCTAAGTGATAGGTCTATCTTTATCAATATTTCCTTCTCACTGGCCTTTAGAGCTTCAATCCATGCCTGAGCTGCTGCCACCTTTTTATCGGCAATTTCTTCAGCCCCAGCTGCACGTCCAATCAGATAGTCATATTCGAACTTGGATATGGTAATTGAAGAACTACTCTGTGATTCAAAAGCTCTAGCTCTTACGGTATCCTCAATAAGACCTTTGAGATTTTCAAGAGCTACAGCTTCTGATGATTTGACTGTTTCAAGCTCTTCCATTGCAGCCTGTAATTTTTCCTCAGTCAAGTCTATCTCAGATTCCATTTTCAGAATTTCTGACTTGATGGTTGCAGCCTCTTCACAAGCAAGCTCCTTTTCTTTCCTTGCAGCCTCTGCTTCTGTCTTAAGCTTTTCAAGAGTGAGAGAAAGATTGGATGCCATTGATTTTGCTTTTTCTTCAGATGCAGATACAGCTTCCAGCTTGGCTTTTGCTCTGAGAAGCTTTGAATTGAGACTTTTAACAGTTAAATCCGATTTCTGTTCTGTTTTCCTTAATCGATCAGTCTCGTCTGTTAAATGCTTAAGCTCATTTCTTATGATATCCATGGAGGCCATGAACTGAAAGCCTTCTACTTTCACTGCGGCCAATTCTTTCTTTGCCACCTCTAGTTCTTCTGTGACTGAATGTAACAATGGTGAACCTTCCAAGTCCTCTCCTCTACGAAAACTAGGTTCTGAGCGACTCAAGCTATCAATCCTTTGAATCCTTTTGTCCATTTCTTTAACTAGCTTCAGTTCATTTTGTAACACAACCACATCAGACATTGTGACAGATAATTTAGTTTCAAGCTCTTTGGAGGAATCAATCTCTTCAATAACATCTTTCATTTTTTTCCTGGTTTCCTCCACTGCAAATGAGAATTGATTGGCTTCCTTTTCTCTCTCAGCTTCAATATCTGCAAATTCTCTCTCAGCTTCAATCCGGGCCAACTCAGTTAGCACTTGCTCTTCACTGGCATCCTCAATCTCCTTCTTGATTGCTTCCACTGAGCTTGTATAAAACAACATCTTTGTATTTGCGGCCTCAGTTTGCTTCTCTGCCCGCGATTTCTCTTCTAAAACAGAAGCCACATCAAGCTTAAGCATGCTGAGTTCCTGCCTCACAAGTTCCAATTCTCTCATCACTTCTGCATATTGTTGATTCTCCACCTCCCCCAGAGCCAACACCTGATCTTCACGCTTATTTCCACGCCTTCTCGATTTCTTTAGAACTTCAATCTCTCGTGTATGTGACTTTGCATTGGAGTTTGATTCCTCAATCACAGAAGAGAGATCTTTGGCTCTCTTGTATACGTCATATAGCTCAGATTCTGCCTGTGCTTTTACCAAATCTGTGTCTGTTCTGTTTTCTTTGAACCGACCTATGTCCCGGCGCGCCATATGGAGTTCTCTTGCTATTGAAGAAGACTTCTTTGGAAATTAACAGACAGAGAGAGAAACAGAAAGATCAGAAGGAATGCAGATTGGTGTTATGCTTACATAGTGAAAGAAACTAAAACATCTGTGAAATGGGGTTTTTTCCATAGTTTCAAGAGCTGTAGTTTGCTGAGTTATATATACATATATACCTCTGAGAAATCTCTCTCTGGTTTCTTTAGTGAAGGACTAGCTTCAAGAATCCTATCTTCATATAGATTGTTGGCTTTTCTAAATGACCCAATTCTTCTTCTTCTGCCATCAAACTCTCCTCTACTCATATTAAACCTGTTTTTAACACTCATGCATGACAATTCTGTTAATTTCTCACAAACCCAAATAACTTTTTTCTTCTGCTCAAATTGGAATGAAATTCTAATAAATAAATAAAACCTAAACTTGCTTTTCCTGATACTATTGCACAAATATTCTATTCATCAAACTCAAATGCAAGCAAAAAAAAGCAACTAAAAGTAACAATCTTGAAACATACTCAGAAATGAGTACCTTGTGAGAGTGAACTTCGTTCCCTGACCGCCAGAGAGCTTGAGCTAGCTTTTTTCTTTGTCAGACCGTTTTATCTTTATTCGGTTCTAAGAGGGAACAAAGATAAAACAGCAAGAGTTGCTTGTGTCCTGAGCTCCTGATGTTTGGCTGATATTGGAACTATCGCCAGCCATCTAATCTATTTGTTCTTTTTTTTCCCACATTTAAAATTTTTTTCAAATATTATTGACCCATTTTTGGTGCAAGTCCAAAAGATCATAGGTAAAATTCCCACTCGAGCTTTTTACAACGTAGCTTCAAATTTTCCCAAGTTGTCAATTTTATTAGGTTAAGAATCAATGTCCCTTAAATACTCATATAGATTTCTCTTAGTTGGAACAGTGGTCCACCCATTCGTAAAATGATGCGGAATGTCCTGCCAGCTAATGAACAAAATTTGTTCACATGTTGCCAAACCCTCAACCAATTACAGTCTTTCTTTTAGGCAAAAATCTCATTTTGGTATCTGTAGTTTGCTCGTTTTACCATTTTTGATCCCCATAGTTAAAATTTTGTCTATTTATCATTCTAGTTTAAATTTGGAGCAATTCGAGGACAGTTTCCAATTTTTGTCAAATTACTTCAAATTCCGTTGAGTTTTGATCATGTACCCCTCACATGGAAAAGTAAAAGTCTTGCATTAATAGTTGAAACGATCTCGAGATTTTTCACTCAATGGCAATTGATTTTACAAGTCGTGTTGATAAGCCCTGCAGGCATCTTTATTCTATTTTGTCAAGGAAATCTAGTTTCTTATTTCACACATACATGGATGAAATGGAACTAATTTGTATTAGCTAATCTTTGGCTTTAAGACACTGGCTCTAGAGTCTTACATTGGATCCTTTCGGTTCTGCATTCCTTAAAAAGTTTCCTTCATATCAAACATGTGTTTTCGGCTAGCTAGCTATGAGGTTATTATACCACTATTTGCATGGATATGTTCACCGTCGCAATATGCTTTTAATTTAATTTTATTATTTTTTGTTGGAATCTGTTTGCCTGAAACATCAACATAATGTGAAAAATAGAAAGATTATTTTTGGATGAATTGAATTGGTAAGGAAATGGGAAAAAGACAAATCATATATTACAAAGTAGTTTTGGCAGGACTGCAAAATGACACATTATAGACATTTGGATCTACTGACGTGTCTTAGAAATCGAAGGCAGAAGACCTGCCACGTCGTTGCATGCCAAACCATACGACTGCATAAAGCATAAACCAAAGAGGGTTGTTTTGTTTTCCGCTTCAAGGGACATTGTGATTAGTGGAGGATTCAGAACTCTTAGGGCATTTTCAGTAGGGGTTGTATAATGAGGTGTATGTTAAATATACATTATTTGTTATCTGAATCATCTATAATTAATAGGTGTAAATGATTATAAATTTGCATTTAGGGACGGCCCCATAATTTCAAACTTGACTGGGCTAAATTTATCTTACATATAAACATACAAAGTAGATAGAAAACTCGATAGTACGATGTAATTTCATTGATAATAAAAAAATTAATAATACATCTACTCAAGAGGGGGACATAATGAGCCTTACCTCTCAAATAACACTATATAAGTTGCACCCTTTGAGTCTTCATAGAATTAAAATCATTAATTATCGATTCATTATTTATATTATCAGCAAATTCTCTTTCAATGTGAAGTAATATATAATCAGCAAGAAATTCATCACGTATCTTGTTTCGAAGCCGATTTTTTATTAATCTCATATAAGAAAATGCTCGTTCTGTTGTTGCTGTAGAAATAGGAAGAGTTAGCACCAAACGAATCAATCAGTCAATCAAGTAGTAGGTTTGTGCTAATCTTGTTTCCACTAAGCGCCCAAGTAATATAAGAATGGAATCAAGATTCTTGAAGGTTGGATTGTGATCCATGTCAATTTTATAAAATCCCAGTTGTTGATTTAAAGCATACAACTCAGTTGTAGTGAAATCTTAAGGATGACATTTATCAGCAAGAGTGTATATATCATCAATGTTAGAGATGAAATCTTATGATTGGGATAGGCTAATGTCAATAAAGAGGGGTGGACTATTTTTAATTAACCTGGGTGTGACTTATAAAATTAACACTAATCTTTTTTCATCTCCAAATTTAGCACTGGGCTAGAGCCCACTCTAGCCCATACATAGATCCACCCTTAGCACCAGTGTGAGTGAGTAAATCCCCCTCCCCCTTCCTACCTTTGACAACCAAAAAAATAAAAAATAAAAAACCTCTAAGACAAGTGACAAAAGGAAAGCTTCCTATTCATAATAATGGATCAAAGGCCTATATTTGCAGTACGTTAATTAAATTAAGGGAGATTTTATTGGCACCCTATTACTTGCTCTTTGCAACCCACATTCTTTTTACACCCCACTGAATTTTAGTAAAATTTAAAATTACTCACTATACCCCAGTTTTCTTCCTAAATTGCCCTCTTGAACCTCATTTCCTAACTTACTGTGTAAACCCCATCCCATATTATACCCCACCCATCGAAAACCCTCTTTTCTTTCAAACACACCCCATCTCATATCAAACCCCACCTCATCCCATATCAAGCCCCACCCCATCAAAAATTCCCTCTTCTTGCAGACACACCCCATCGCATAACATATCATATTTGCAACAAACTCCATCACACACCCCATCCAATTTGAAACAGAGCCATCGCAGCAAACCCCAACCCCATCGTAAACCCCCATCGCCAACCCCAAACGCCTCACCCTGTCGCAAACCACTATCGCCTCAGCTATTGAAATGGTTACATTGTTTCAATGGTAGTCCACCGAATTTGAACCTGGTCTGTACGAAAATTAATTTTACTTTCGATGGGTTACCACCGAAATCGTTACCTTGTTTTAGTGGTAGTGCACTTAATTTGTTTCCGTTTTTCAGCAATTGTCTACCAAATGTATTTTCGTTTTTCAATGGTACCCCACCGAATATGTTTCCTCTTTTCAGTGATTGTCCACCAAATTTGTTTCCATTTTCCAATGATCATCTACCGAAACCATTACTAAGTTTGTACTTAATATTGTTTTTTAGATATGAAAATGACTCGCATAGGTACTACTGAGGCTTCCTCATATCGACTTGATAGACAGCGTCCCACAGCCTCAACGAGGAGATAGAGAGCGGCTCCCCAAGATCACTTTGAGGATACTACAAAGGTTGAAGATGTAGCTCATACTCATGATAGTAATGTTGACACAAAGGTTGGAGATGTAGCTGCTAATCATGATAGTAATGTTGAGGTACATGCCGAGCCTATTGAGCCATCTCGAGCTCATTGATCCGTCTTTACTTACGAGTTTTAAAACTCACATAGCAGCTGCAATTTGGAATAACCAGGTAAGTTATTTTACTATAACAATAGAATGCATAATATAAGTCTGGTTCATTGTGAAGTCCGGTTTTAAAATATATATATGTATATATTTGGAAATCAAATGTTTTGCTTATAAGTTAAAATTTCGTTTAGATTGATTATATATGTATATGGGTTATAGTTATATATATATAATAATCTGACCACATAGTTATTACTTTCATGACAAATTATCAAGAATAGTACTATTGTAAAAGAATACTTACTTGATTGATTTAAGTGATGCCACGTACCAAGATATTTACATAAGAAAAACTTAGTTTCTTCACAGGTGTAAACTTAGATGACTAAGCTCTTACCTAGATGACTAAGCTTTTGGTTAAAGCATGAGCTGTTGGCCTTAGGAGAAGTGGGATAATCTAGGAAATCAAGTATATCACCAAACCTACACTCCACAAATCACAAACCATCAAGTTACCACCTTTTACTACTATAAATAGGAAACCAATTCTCTTAACTTGTTGTAAACATCATGCATGGTAATGCATGATAGGAAGCAATAGAGTGGGGAAAGAAAAGGAGAAATATTAGAAAGTGTAGAACAAGAAGTTCGTTGAAGGAACTCGAGGTGTTTGAACTTACAACTGGGAATTATATAATAGCTTTGGATTTGAGGTAGGGGTTTTTCTTGGGGAGGTTTTGCATACATTGATTTAATTAAATATTGTAAATGCTATATTATGCTTGGTAATATTATTTGATTATTATTGTAAATACTATATTATGCTTGATTATTTCATTTGATTGTTATCCTTGAGATTGGGTGTATACGTATTGTCAATTATCATTATAATTTGATGAATACTGACATTTTCATATGTTGTCGGTGGTGGTTGGAATTTTTGGGTTGATAAAGAAATTATGGAAAAGAGGATAATGAGAAGAATCTTTTGTGTAGTTGAGTCTAACCATTGTAGGGACCAAGTTCAGGCGAGCCCGTGTGCACATTAGATTAGGAAATCGGCGGTATAATTGTCGATTGGGTGATTTGGGCTTGGAGATCAATGGTGTAGACAAGATGACTAGCAAAAGGGGAATTATGGGATGATTGAAATGGGTGTTAGTTTATATAATGGGGCATTCGGAATCACAGTGGTAAAATGCATGGTATGGGACATGCAGATTTGCTTGCCTTATTATATAGATTAACGGGTTGGGTAGAATTGAAGTTCATTCATGCATTGCATAAATTGTACATTATAAATCTCACTAATCACATAAGACATAGGACCCCTACTGAGCATGTAATGCTCACCCCTTATAGAATATATTGCAGGTTTTGAATCTGAAGTTTAGTTTTTGTTGAGCAAACAAGAAGAACGGGTTATGGATAGTTTTGAGTGTTTTGTTGAAAGTTTGTTACTTTCTTGTTATTTTGCTTGTAATAGTACAATGTAAATTACTTTGACTTAAATGGAAGTTTATGTTCAATCTTCATGTTTCTTGATATTTAAATTTTTAGTTTTAGTTTTTCTTTTACCTCACATTCCCAACTAAAAATAAAAAAAATAAAAAAAATAGGGGTGTGACATTCATGGTAATTAACCTAATTTATTTTTTGTTTTTTGTTTTTTGTTTTTTTGTATTTGACTAGGAACGTGAGTCCCTTAGGTGCATGTCAAAGACATCTACTATTCGTGAGTGAAATTGATGGACTAATCCAAATAATGGTATATTCAAAAGGTACATTCAAAGGTCTGGATTAGAGCAACTTATTAGTTGTTCTTATCGGAATGCAAATAAGATGGTGGTATCTACATTTGTTGAGAGGTGGCATCCTGAAACGAACACATTTCACATTCCTTTTGATGAGATGACAATATAATGTGTCATCTATTTTAGGCATTCCTATGTCCGTTGTAGCGGTTGCTCCGCTTGAAAATGATAACGACACAAATTTCGAGTTGTTAGTGAATTACTTAGGAGTGACTGATGAAAAGGCTATTGAACAATTGCACCAATACAGTGAAGAGTATGTGAGTTTGTCATGGTTACGGGTGCGATTCTCCAATGTTTCAGACACAAATTCAGAGGAGCACATCATGTATTCGGCCAAAGCATATTTGCCAAATCTCTTAGGTTGCACTTTGTTTGTTGACAAGACTGGCAAGAGAGTCCAAATTGTGTACCTTAGACTACTTAGAGACCTTGATAGTGTTGCTGGTTATTCATGAGGGTCTGAGTGCTTCACGTGGTTGTATAGTGTTGTTGGGTACATGACTTTGTTGGAGGCATGGGTTCATTAGCTCCTCTAGTGTCATGTGGACTTGTCTTTTCTTTTCATCATCTTGTTATTTATACCACATATTGAATATTTGTAATTGTGACTTTCCTGGTGAAGTTGTGCAATGACTATTGTTTCTTGTATTGATGAGATCTAATTTCCTCCAATGTGAATACACAACATCAAGTGGGATTGGTACACCACGATCTTTATACTATGCAATTTCATGTGCACATGGTAATTGGTGGGTTCAACGAATAGCACAACCACATGATAAAGCATCCACCACATCTGCCTCTAACATGTTTGCAAATAAATTACAATGTTAACTATGTAGACCATATATGTACATGTAATAAGTAAACTGAATTTGCCTTTCTAATTTGCACACAATTACACTCAAAGCCTTTATAAAAACAAACCCTACTAACTCTGTCAACTCCGGATGCATGAACCTATGTTGAATAAAACATCGACTCTTTTCAAAAGATGCATTAATCTATGTGTGCTCCAGCTCTAACAATGAGTGAATAGTTACCCATGATCTCTCAAAGTTAAGTTGACCCGAGCAGAGTTGTCGCTTCAACTTTGCATGTGCACTTTCCGCTCTATTGATAACAATAATAAATTTTCCTGAGGCAAAATAAATTTTCAAATTAACATATCAAAAGTTGACTAAAATACTTACTTATTTGAGGTCATTGACCCAAGATGCATACAAGTGTCAGTCCATGATGCGGCCACAAATCTATCCTTAAATGGATTTAACCAATTGTCATGTATGTATTCAAGAGCTTTTTGAAATTCACTGAACTTAGACTCAATCTGTCGCAAACAACGCCAAAATTCCTCCTCCGTTTCTAAACCAACCAAACTATTCCAATCCCCATTAAATTGCTTCCATTGTTTGAGGGTCCCAAATAACTTATTGCAGTTTGCCAACACTCCTTTGTTAATATGTCATCTACATAATAAATGTCGTGCTTTCGGAAATATAGACGTAATAGATTTTATAAGTGCTAACTCTCGATCGGTGACAATAACACCAAGAAAACAATTATCATCCAACAAAATTCTCAATGCAGTCAAAGCCCATGTGTAATTGTCTTCCTTCTCGGCATTCATATACACATTTGCAACAGAGAATGTCATATTAGTAGATGTCATCCCTATAATTTGCAATAGTGGGAAACAATACCTATTAGTCTTATAGGTGCAGTCCATGATAAGTAAATGTGGAAATGCATACAAAATCTCAATATAAATAGGGTGTGTCCAAAACAAGTTAGTTACAATATCACCAAATGTCTTATGTCACTCAATATAATTGTGTTCGGATAACTTAGTGAGCAATTGTTGCATTTGTGTTCTCCCAACAAATTCTTTAGTTCTATTTTGGATCCTAGCATGGGCATCCACATTTCTTGGTACCAGTGTCCTTAGCACACTTTTTCGTATCCCTATTTGCATCCGACCTTACATCAGTTGTCTCACTAGACTTGCAAGACTTATAGTTACCACTCCTCTCACAAGCAAGTATTACTTGATGTCTCCTCTTACCCTCACCTCCATAATCAGACATTCTAATTACAATTACAATATTACTCATCTTTTCTTGTGCACAAGCCCATCTAAGTAATGCATCTCTACCATTGAATATCTACACATAAAACTCATGTTATTTAAAGTTAAAATTTGAAACATTAATGTTACGTTAATGATACTAAAAAGGATTTCATACAAAAAAAAACTCAAAATAATTACCGAATAAGTTGTAAATTGATCACCATAATCTATTACCCATTCTATTCCCACATTGTTGCTTTCAGTAGGGGCGTCACCTTGTTTTTGTTCATTCATTGGGAGTAATGTCAAAATAGCCTGCATTAAATTTGTGGTTGACAATAAGTTAACAGCCGGTCAAACACAACCGAAATAGGTGCAACATTTCAATGGCATCCCATCGAATGTACCTATTGTGTTCGGTACTGATGTGTTGAACGTAACCAGCGACCATCTTGAAATCTTCAACTTGAAAAACGCCAAAAAATAAACTCATACCTCATTCGAAGCCTCTCTAACTTCAATCTCCCACTTCATGAATAAATACAACATATTTTTTCACCAATATAAACATATAAACCTCGTTAGGGTTGTAGGAACATGATGGTTTGAGAAAAAAAATCTAGCTAGGGTTGCAGGAATATATGTGGGGTGTAGTGAGCAATTTTAATTTTAATTTTAAATGTTTTTTGTCCTTAACGGTAATTATGTATAAGGGTAAACTAGGTTATTCATGTTTAAAATTAGTATGGGGTGCAAATAGTAAATAATGGGGTGTCAATAAAATCTCCCTTAAATTAAACACAAAATTTGAACGGATTTTGTCACACCAAAGCAAGGGACAGTTGTTGTGTATTCTAGTTGAGGCAATTACCCGAAAAAGAAAAAGAAAACATCAGTTTGGGCTTAGGGTTTTAAGAAATATCCAAAACCCAGCGGTCGTTATCATCTTCCTCCTCGGCAGCTCCAGCTCTCCATCTGCCACTGCATTTCTGGTTGTTCAGCTTAAGTATCTTTCTTTTAGCCCCATTTCTCTTCCGCCTTCAAAAACGTTGGGATTTGGGGTAGTACACTACATTGTCGTCGTATTTGCATCACATGGTCCTCAAAATTAGATTGCTCTAACTCTATTTCTTTTTCCTCTAGTTGTGATTTAAGCTAAGAATCGGGTTATAGGTATTTTGTTTTGGGTGGTCTCGTATGGTTTAGGAATTTGTTTCTTGTTGATGAATTTGATTAGTGGCTATTTTATTCATGGGGTTTTATACGGTATATCATCTTATCATGCTTCCTTGTTCTTATGATGATATATTTGGCTATATTTTTTTGTTCGGTCAAGTTGATGAGTACATGAGTTGTACTAAAAATGTGGCATAACCGGCTTCAATGACGGAGCAATAGCCTATATAAATACAAAGGCAGAGCAGTAGACTCTTTATGCACAAAGCAGAGAAGTTGTTCTTCAGATATACAAAGATTAAGGATCATTGTAGGGTCTTTAAAGAGTAGTAGACTCTTTGAATACAATGGTAGAGCAATAGACAATTGATAAGTGTTGGTTTGGTTTCTCACATACAAAGGCAGAGCAATGGACTCTTTGCTGATTTTGTTTTCGGATACCTTAATTATGAATTTCAAGTCAAATTATTATTAGTAATTTTATACAACTGATTTATGATAGAAAAACAAATTTCATGCATTCCCAAACGGATGCCCTTTTATCTGGAACCATATTATCATGGATAGTTATTAGTATGTGTCCAAGGAGATCCAATCGTAACAAAAATTTGACAAATTGAATAGAGAGACTATGGGTTCTAGTAAATTCGATATCCTAATTAATGGCAAAATTGTAGCAATGGTCTCTAGACTAAGCCCCAAATTTACTTTTCGTCCCTCATATTGTTAAATTGTTACCGTGGTACTTTAATTATGCCTCCAATTTTAGAAACCGTTATTTCCATAATCTCAGTCAACTTTTCCGTTAAATTTGATAACATGGCACGGACAAGTCCTACTTGGCATGGGCAAAAATGTCTTTTCACACATTAAAATGATTAAGCCGGTTTTGAAAGCGAAACCTTGGCATGGGTAAAAATGTATTTGCACCGATGAAAAGAATTTTGCTAATTTTGAAAGTGAAAGTTATCGAAGGTCGACATCAAATAGAGGAAAAAGCGAGCGAAAGGGGAATGGGAAAAGGGGAAAAGGGGAAAAGGGGAAGGGGGTAGGGTTTCTTGATTATGATGTTTCAAAGTGCAATGTGTCGTCGAAAGTACAATGTTTGAACAGTACACATTGTTGATTGAAGTATTAGTGCATTATTGAAAATTTAAGGGTTCGGTTTTGGGGCAATCGAAAGTGACAGTGTTTCGATGTTTACAAAGTGTTTATAGAGAGACTTCACATGGAGACAGTGTTTAGGTGGTCTGGAGACCATCCAAAGTATGGTAAGTTACTACAACTTTAACTAAATGCATTGAATGTTTTATAGGTTTAAGTTTTGTCTGCATATGTGTTGCCCTATGTTGTTGTCCTTGGTTTGGCTATATGTGTGGTCATGTGCTATTGTCCTTGGTTTTTTAGGCAAGAAAATGTGGTTTTAAGGCTTTCAAAATATTAATTTTCTATCAAATGTTGTAACCAAAATAATATTATTTTTCTGTCAGATATACCCAAGTTATGCATTTAGAACTTCATCATTTCGATTTGTTGGAAAATAGCGTATATAAGGGTGGGAATGTATGCTTTGCAGACAACTGTGTGGATGACTATTTGCCACTATTGGATTTGAAGAAAATTGGGTTAGAGCTTGGGTATAAATATGGATATAACCCAGAATGTGACGAGCCTAAAAGTGTTCTATAAGATGCATGCAGAAGATGTTGTGAAGGAGGTCTTAGATGATAGGTGTAAATTTAGTTGGTATCATTCCATCAAATAGAGTTGTTGCGCTGTATTTTCATAATCCAACTGACCAAAACACACTTGGCAGTAAAAAAGATGAGGTATGGCCATCGTTGGATTCTGAGGAGCATGCAAATGTAGCTGAAGAAGATGCAGGCATATAAATGGTAATGAAGAGGAACATGTGCAAGTTGAATTTGATGGTAATGAAGCAAACAATGAAGAGGAACATGTGCATGTTGAATATGATGGTAATGAAGCGGACAATGAAGAGGAACATGTGGAAGTTGAATTTGATTGTAGTGAATCTGAAAATGAAGAAAAAGAGAAGGATGAAGAGTTAAAGGACAGTGATTATGAATACACTAATGATGAGATGCCAAACATTGATCCTAGAATGATAGCAAAAAAAGGAGTAAATGTTTCACCAAATGTGGGTGAAGAGGAACCAAACATTGATCCTGAAATGATGCCTCCTAATAAAGGTACAAGGGCTATCTCAGATGATGGTGTAGACACTGATGCAATCTCTTCTGAAGGTGAAACTTCTGAGGATGAACAAGAAAGTGGAGAAAACTCAAAGAAGTCAAAAAAGAGAAAGAAGAGAAAATTACCAAACTTTAAACAATTTAGAAGAGAGACTGACCTCAGAAATCCTAAGTTTAGGTTAGGAATGTAGTTTGCCAATAGAGAAGAAGTGAAGGAAGCTATTAAGGAGTATGCAATTGTCGATGGCAAACCTATAAAGTTTGTGAAGAATGATAATTTTCGGGTCAGAGCCAACTGTGCTGGGCATAAGTATTGCCCATTTGTTGTGTTGGCTTCAAAGAGAGATATGAATTAATCCACTTTTGCAATCAAGACTCTTTCTTTAGAACATGAGTGTACTAAAGTTGACAGGTTGGAGTATTCCAATGCAAGATGGCTATCCATTAGGTTTGCAGACAAAATTAGGAAAAATCTCAACTGGGATGTAGCAACAATGCTAGCAGAACTGCGAGAACAATATGCTATGAATGTAAGCAAACATCAAATATAAAGAGCTAAGAGGTTGTCAAGAGTGGTCATTGAAAGTAGCTATATAAAGCAATACGCAAAGTTATGGGATTATAGAGAACAGTTGAAAGCTTATAACAAGGGTAGCACAGTTGCAATTAAGAATGACATGCTTGTGGAGGAACATATTTTTCAGAGAATTTATGTGTGGTTGGTAGGTGGTAAGAAAGGGTTTTGAAGGGATGTAGGCATGTGATTGGCGTGGATAGGTGCCATTTGAAGGGACCATACACAAGACAAATATTAACAACTGCTGGGGTTGATGGAAATAATGGAATTTCCGCATTGCCTATGCTATAGTTGAAGCTGAAAATAAGAGTTCTTTGATGTGGCTTGAGTTGTTGGTATCAGATTTAAAAATAGAGAATGAGACTGCTTGGGTGTTCATAAGTGACAAGCAAAAGGGTCTACTTCCAACCATTGAAATAATTGTGCCTACAACTTAGCATAGAATGTGTGTGAGGTACCTTTATAGCAACTTCAAAGGGCAACATTCTGAGCTCCTTTTAAAGAACATATTGTGGGCGCAGCAAGGGTCACCATTATTCCATGGTATGAAGCAGAGATGGAGAAGATGAAGGTGCAAGATAATGAAGTTTACAAGTGGCTCTTAAAAAGTTCACCAAAGAATTGGAGCAAATCTCAATTTAATGAACACTGTAAGTGTGACATCTTATTGAACAATCTCTATTAAACATTCAACTCTTACATACTAGACGCAAGAGACAAGGTCATCTTAATATGCCTTGAAAGAATTAGAACTTATGTGATGTTGAGGATGTGTGAAAGAAGAATTGCTGGTAGCGTTTGGAGACATCATGTTGGGCCAGGAGTAGTGAAGATCATTGAAAATAATAAGAAGGGAGCACATCAATGTATTCCTAGACTAGCAGGTGAGAAGAAATACCAAGTGGATCTAAGAGCAAAGACTTGCTCTTGCAGAAGATGAGATTTGTGTGGGGTCCCATGCTCACATGCAATTTCTTGCATTTTTCACAGATAAGAAAATGTGTATGACTATGCACATGAGTGCTATAACCAAACTACTTACCTCTCCTCATATGATCCAATGGTCCACCATGTGTCATTCATGGATCAATGGAAAACAAATTTTCCTCCAATTAGACCTCCCCCTTACAAGACCCAGCCTAGAAGACCCAAGAAATCAAGAAACAAAGAGGCTTTTGAGGTTGAAGTACCTGCTCCAATCCCTCCACATCTTAGACCCCCTAATTACATTCCACCCCCTGCAAAATTAAGAAGGGTTTTTATCAAGATCAGGTGTTCTATTTGTGGTCAGGAAGGACACAATTAAAAGGACACTTTAAACAAGGAGGTGCTGCCAATTCTAGTAACCAAAAGGTAATTGAGGTAGTTGAGGTAGCTTTATGTATTAGGGTTACTATGCAATATGTATTGGGCCCAATAACTAACACCAAGTTTTTTTCATTGTAGGACCAATCTAATGGGCCAAGCAGGCCTGCAAGAGGCAAAGGAAAAGGTGTACATAGAGGTGCAATAAGTGGTGGTGGTAAAGGAAGGGACAAACAACCTAGTTCTTCATCAGTAAGTGTGACATCTTATTGACTGTTTTATAAGTTCGTGTTTTCAAATTATGTTTTTAATATTGTTTTGCTATATGTTGTTGAAGGTTGGAGATGAGAATGAAAAAAGGAAAATACAAGTTGCTTCATAGCCCCTCCTAAACAATGGAGATTCATCCTTTTCAACACCACCAAAATTGTGCAATTATTATCTCAGCTAATTTTAAAACCACCAGACATTGCCCAATCTTCACCTCAACCAGTTTCAAGCCAATGTAGAAGATTTAAATCTCCTGCAAAGAGGATTAAACCACCCAAAACTAGCCAATCTTCACCTCAACCAGTTTCAAGCTACGGTATCAGATTTAAATCTCCTACAAAGAAGGCTAGACCTTGGAGACCATGATTATGTTCCTAAATCCAAACATCATGATGTGTAATTGCTTGAGTTTTTGGTTAGATGGGAGTTTTTTATGTGTAATTGCTTGAGTTTTTGGTTAGGTGGGAATTTGAAAGTGATATTTTGAACAATTTGGTGTTTTGATAGTTAGGTCTGATGTTTGGGTTAGATTTGATTGAAATTTGGTTATGTATTTGGAGTATGCAATTGGAACTCATGTAAACTTTGGATTCAAGTTATGCAATTGTCAAATTATATCTTAAGTTATGTTATTATACACTTACATGGCACAAATGACATAAATGTACCAAACTTTGGATTCAAGTTATGCAAATGGCACAAATGTACCCAACTTTGGATTGAAGTTATGCAATGACACAAATGTACCAAACTCATTACACATTTCACTATTTAATCATCAAATTCTCTAGAATTTTTTCAGACAAATTTAGGATCTTAATCATTATCATTGCAACCATGACATTAAGAACCCATGCCACAAACATACCCACCCACATTAGTTTCCCTCTATGTCGATACACCATAATTTTCTCATCCATCTTCATAATCTGCCTTCCCAATCTTCCAGTCCTTCATTATCTTCTTCTACTTGATTCAGTTCCTGCTCCATACCTCTCATTCTTCTTAGCAACCAATGAAGAACTTCCTTTCCTCGTGGACATATCTCTTCTGCACCCACTCCCAATAATGAGCTTTGACTTAGTTCTTCTGAAGAATTTTCCATATCCAGAGTTAGATCTAAAACCTATGGACCAAAAAACACAAAATTCCAAACAAAGTGACTTACTTGATTATTCTCACAAGTCTCAAATCTTTTCCCAGGGTTCGATTATGTCCATGAAGTCCATTTTTTAATAGCTCCCCCACAATCATGAATCTTCCATGTGTTATAGCTCCCCGAACTCTACAACATCTCCTTTCTCCTTTCCCTCTGTAATTTTTTTTTCACAGATGCCCTAATATTAATATAAATGGCTGACATGACATTCGGGTTCAAGTTTAGCACCATAAATTTGAGAGGTTGTTGATATGGACATGCCTCTGTTCAATCCAGCACTTGAAAAGACAAATATGCCCTTAAATTTAACGGAAAAGTTTACTGAGATGACAGAAAGGACGGTTTCTGAAACTGGATGCATAATTAAAGTATCACGGTAACAATTTAGTAATATAGAGGACGAAAAGTAAAGTTGAGGCTTAATCCAAGGACCATTGCTACAAGTTTGCCCATGATTAATTGATTAGTTACATTATTCCACATATCCTTATATAGATACAGAGCCTTAATTGGCTCACTAAACCGCACTAACTGATATAACATTTACAACCATAAACTATTAATTTGGCTATAACAAAATTTCTAACTAGCATTCAATTGGTGAGTCATCAAGAGATGTTTATAAACAAAATGGCTGATATATAAGACATGTATATTAGATTTGAACTTAGGGCCAGTTTGGCATTGCTGTGCTGTGAAAATAATCGTTGTCAGATTTGCTATGAGAGAAAGAAGTTTTGCGTTTGGCACACTTTTTGTTAAAAGTGTTGTTGGTACTGATTCTCGCATAATCATTAAACCCATCACCTCTTCAAAATTGATTCCTGCATAATTAGAAAATGAAAGCACCTCATTAGCTTATTTCCTTTATAGTTTTCTCTAACATCAATTTTTAACAATAAGTGATTTTCTCATAGTTTACCAAACGGGCTGGGTTTCTCAAAATTTTAAAAAAATCACTTATCACCCTAAATAAGCAATGCCAAACTGGCACTTAGTTTGAAACTTTGTAATTTATTAGCTTAAATTTATGAGTAAAGATTGCAGGAACTATATTTTTTTAAAAGCCCAATAGGCCTGTTTAAGGTTGGTGCAAAGTGGATATTTGAGAACAACTGCCTGGGCCAAGTCATGAAACTGACATAACCAACAGAACCAACCCGTTATGAAGTCAGAGAAAACAACTGCCTGGCCTAATAGGCCTGTTCAATCTTCTTCAGCTTTATGCTTGTTTGATCAATCTATGATAGGGTTTTGCAGGTGAATGATTAGCGTGTGAGAAAGTTGAAGTAAGAGAAAACGAAGAGAAATGGCAAGCCAAGCAACTACCTCTTTTCATGGAAACTTGAAGGTAGTGTTTTCTTCTTATACTACTGATCTGTTGAATTTTCATGATCGTTAATGGTTAATTTCTCTACCTATTCCAGTCTCGATACTTATAGAACTCATCCATTGTTTGTTTTCAAACCTCACCGAGCCCTAAATTAGTATATTAATGAAAGCCTATTTGATGTTTGTGAAATGTACTGAGAGAATTTTTTTTTAACTCAGTGTGCACAATCAGTAACAGAATATATGCTTTGGTATTCATATAGAAAGCTTTTGCCGGCCTGAGGCGTATTGATCTTGATGGGTTGCGGTGGAAAGTATTCGATGCGAAAGGCCAGGTTGTTGTTTATATTTTTATACTATTTATGGTAGCATTGAAGGGGTTGGTTTAGGGGATCCTTTTTCATTTTTGTTTTCAAAATTAATTTTGAGCACAAGTCCTTGTGCTTTATTTTCTAAGGTGCTGGGTTGTTGGATATTTATAAGGTGCTGGGATGGGCTGTTTTGTTTCCAGCGGCTTGTGAGTTCCCTTTGATTTCATCAAACTGCAGGAAGCTTTGGCTGATGTGGGATTTTCTCACGTGTTATGGGCTATTAGGTTTTCCTAAGGTGATGGGCTACTAGGTTTTCTCTCATACTTACCCATATGTTTGGGCTCAAGGAATGGACTTGAGTTTTGGTGCTCCCAAGTAGTCCAAAACTTCTACTCCTTGGACCATCAATGGGTCTCATGAATACTCGTAACCATCCATACCACAACCCGTTCAGCAAGCCCCAGGCATTCGCGTGGTTTGGGCCCATTTAAGCTTGTAGCATGGCGTGTTGCTTATTTGCTTGGCGTGACATGTGTGCGCGCATATGATGAACTTTCGCTTGCCCAAATCGGGTTCTTTCTCGGTAAGGTATCGCATTGGACCAGGAATATATTTGGGCCTAGCCTTGGATTTTTTGGGTCTCAACAACCACCAATGGTTTTCAAGCCAATGAGGAACTTTACCCTACCATCATAGGATTAAAATCAAAACGGGTGAACAATTACACAACATATGAAAGCCTATAATTATAGGTCTAAGGTAACAAAAGGCTATAGCAAATAAAATTGTAAGACAAGGCCAATGGGTCATACCGTAGTGGAAAAATATGTTTAGTTTAAGAAGAGTGGTGTCAAATTCGAAACCCTTAGGCACCAATCAAGGGCAGCTCCATAAAATTTTATAAGGGTGGGCAAATATTTATTTATTTATTTATGGGAAATCCATTATATTACATTTTTTTCTTTTTAAAAACAGGTTTACATGGTTAATTGGCTATAGGCTATAGGTTTTTATTTTTGTATATGCAAAGGAAATGAGTGGTAGTAACTATTCTTCAATTAACAATTTTTAAATTTTATGGGAGTACAAATAGAAGTAGGGAATGCAATCATATAGATCTACAATTGCACAATCACAAGCTACAATCATTCAACAAAACCAAGAGACAACTAGACTATATAAAAGCAAAGATCAAGTAAATAGATTAAACCAGAAAAAGGGCAAATCATCAATAAAATCCAAAATTTAACACCCAAACCCTAAATCATAAAAAGCTAATAATAACAATTGAAATTGGAACCCTAACCCTAAAGAACGCATTGGATATAGGTTAATAAAATTTTAAAGAAGAGGAGACCTACTACTTCTAAGCTCTCAAGTTCCAATATAAAGTCATAGCTTACATGGATGGGTAATAGAAAAACATGATGTTTGAGGTGTGTGGGTGCCTCTAGAGATGAAATCTTATGATTGGGATATGCTAATATCAACAAAGATGAGTGGACTATTTTTAATTATGGAGTTTTACTAAAACACCCAAAATGGGGGCTGAAATTATAAAAAAAACACAACACTCAAAACACTTTATAAACACACCCAAAACCCATCATTACACACACTCAAAACCCATTTATAAACACACCCAAAACATATACAATTGTTGATTTTGGGGTTGATTTTGGGTGTGTTTCTATATTTAAATAGTGTTTGGGTTTTTTTATAAATACATGTCTAGGATTGAGTTTATTTATAAATTTGTATTTTAATTAACCTAAGTTTGACTTATAAAATTAACACTAATTTTTGTCATCTCCAAATTTAGCACTGGGCTTGAGCCCACTCTAACCCATATGTAGATCCGCCCTTGGCACCAGTGTGAGTGAGTAAATCCCTCTCCCCCTTCCTACATTTGACAAAAACAAAAACAAAAATACTCTAAGACGAGTGACGAAATGAAGCTCCCAATTGATAATAATGGACCAAAGGCCTACATTTGTAGTACGTTAATTAAATTAAACACAAAATTTGAACGGATATTGTCACACCAAAACGAGGGACGGCTGCTGTGTCATTCTAGTTAAGGCAATTACCCGGAAAAGGGAAAAAAAATCAGTTTGGGCTTAGGGTTTTAAGAAATACCAAAACCCAGCCATCGTTATCATCTTCCTCCTCGGCAGCTCCAGCTCTCCATCTGCCACTGCGTTTCTGGTTCTTCAGCTCAGGTACCTTTCTTTCAGCTCCATTTCTCTTTCGCCTTCGAAAATGCTGGGATTAGAGGTAGTACATTACATTTCCGTCGTATTTGCATCACATGGTCCTCAAAATTAGATTGCTCTAACTCTATTTCTTTTTCCTCTAGTTGTGATTTAAGCTAAGAATCGGGTGATGGTATTTTGTTTTGGGTGGTTGTTGATGAATTTTAGTAGTGGCTATTTCATTCATGGGGTTTTGTAGGGGTACATCATCTGATCATGCTTCTTTGTTCTTCTGATGATATATTTGGCTATATTTTTATGTTCGGTCAAGTTGATGAGTACATGATTTGTGCTAAAAAGGTGGCATAACCGACTTCAGTGGCGGAGCAATAGCCTCTGTAAATACAAAGGCAGAGCAGTAAGCTCTTTATGCAAAAAGCAGAGAAGTTGTTCTTTGGATATACAAAGATTAAGGATCATTGTAGGGTCTTTAAAGAGTAGTAGGCTCTTTGAATGCAATGGTAGAGCAATAGGCATTTGATAAGTGCTGGTTTTTGTTTCTCACATACAAAGGCAGAGCAATGGACTCTTTGCCGATTTTGTTTTTGGATACCTACGAATTTGAAGTCAAATTATTATTATTATTATTATTATACAACTGATTTATGATAGAAAAACGACTTTCATGCATTCCCAAACAGATGCCCTCTTATCTGGAACCATATTATCATCGATAGTTATAGTATGTGTCCAAGGAGATACAGTCGTAGCAAAATTTTGACAGATTGATTAGAGAGACTGTGGGTGCTAATAAATTAGATATCCTGATTAATTGATTAGTTACATTTTTTCACATGTCCTTATATGGATACAGAGCCTAAACTGGCTTACTAAACCACTCTAACTGATATAACTTTTACAACCAGAAACTAATAATTTGGCTACAACAATTTTTCTAACTAGCATTCAGTTGATGAGTCATCAAGAGATGTGTTTGTTTTGGTTCTGAAATTTTTTGGTCCATTTGATCTGCCAGTCAAAGATTTACAGCCTATATTTTGGCTTTTTTAGAGTTATGTTATTGCTTTCTCTCTTTAAAATGTGTGCATTGTGTGACTTGAGGCTCGTGTCTCCTTTTTCTTGACATTTTCTAATATTAACTTGCAAAAGAATATATCCTTTTGCATTTTAGTTGTGGGATTTAAATCTAATCTGGTGGTAAAGCATTCACTTCCAGGCTATTCAAAATTCAACTCTTGTCCTCTTTTATTTATTTATTTATGTTGTAAGGCGTTGTTGGATGGTCTATAGTTTCAGACCTTATGGTTGAAACTTTAAAAGAGGAAAAAGAAGGAAGAAAGAAGGGAAGAAACATTTTTCTTGAAAATTTGGGGTTATATATATTAGTAATTTCATGATTGAAATTTTACATGGATGAAATACAACTTGGTATATTATGCAGTTTCTTGTTTGTTGTTTCAGTATTTAATTCTTCTTCTCCATAAATTTTTTAGAAATCATTAGGGATCGTTTGGTGATACTAGATAAGCCATTCAATTATGGGGAGAAGCACCTCCCATGTGCTTCTCCATAAAATCACTTAAAACCACTTAAAGTGATTATTGGCCTCTCTATAATCACTTCCAAACGAGCCTTGATTCTAAAATTTTGCATTTTTTAAATTGTGGGAAAATATTGTAACTGTGAACTGAAAGAACCTTTTTATACTCTCTTTAAATCACCTCCTTTGCTGAAAACAGCACCCCTCTAATTCATATGATCTTGTAGCATGCTAGTGTTATTAAATTGATTTTGTAGCATGCCCCTTGCCATGTATTTGACCTTGCAGCATTTTGACTTGTAGTTTAAGATGATAGATTGGTCAAACACATGAGATGGTAGAATTGTTTTTTTCTTTTTTGTTAGCTTTATGTCAATTAACCGTTATATATCAAATATAATCTAAACTCTTTAATTTGAGTAATTATTTATAAAATAATATGGCTGATATATAAGACATTTAAATTAGATTTGAAATTAGTTTGAAACTTTGTAATTTGTTAGCTTAAATTTATGAGTAAAGATTGCAGGAACTGTGTTTTTTTTAAAGCCCAATAGGCCTGTTTAAGATTGGGGCAAAGTGGATATTTGAGAACAACTGCCTGGGCCAAGTCATGAAACTGACATAACCAAAGGAACCCACCCGTTATGAAGTCAGAGAAAACAACAGCCCGGCCCAATAGTCCTGTTAAATCTTCTTCAGCTTTACGCTTGTTTGCTCAATCTGTGATAGGGTTTTGCAGGTGAATGATTAGCGTGAGAGAAAGTTGAAGTCAGAGAAAACGGAGAGAAATGGCAAGCCAAGCAGCTACCTCTTTCAATGGCAACTTGAAGGTATTGTTTTCGAGTTGAGTTAATAAAGAATACGCAGAGAGCTCTCTAGGGAGTTCTCTTCCTCCTCCTCTATTTTGAGAGTCTTTGGCTTCTTCCCACCCGTTATGGGTGTTTTTCCCCTGAGCTCTGTCTCAGATCTGGGGCTCCTTGCCTCCACTTCGGTTTCCTTTAGCTTTTTTCTGTTTTTCCCTAAGTTAAGCCCCCTCTGTGAGACCCTATCTCCTCCATCTCTCCCTCTCTTTTCTTCCCCAACCACCTTCACTGTCCACCCTCCATTTCTTCCATCTCCACTATCCTCGCCTCTCCTATGTTGTGATGACGCTCACCCTTGGCCAGCGACTTCGTCTCGTCACCCGTTTTCAACCACCACCTTTTGCTCTTCGGTTTCGCGTCCGCCGCTCCTGTGGTGGTTCGTGGCTGCACTTGCCTCTTGGATTATGGGAGCGCTTCCGCGCGGGTGGCTTGCTCACCCCCATCTTCCGTCGGCCTCTTTGGTACCCCTTGGTATCGTTTACTTCTCCTTGGTGGTGGTGGATCTGCTGGTGGTGGTGTTGGCTTGCTTTGGGTGGCGGCTGCTCTTGTGTTCTACATCTAGGGTTTTTTGTTTAAAGTTTGTCTGGGCTTTGTTGTTTTTTTTGGTTTTGTATCTTTGGGTCTGCTGTATTTGTTGGGTTTGGGCTGCATTTGGATTGAGTTTTTCTCATTGTGTAATGTTTCCCATTCTTAATGAATAGAGTTTCCCTTGACCAAAAAAAAAAGAAGGTATTGTTTTCTTCTTATACTACTGATCTGCTGAATTTTCATGATCTTTAATGGTTAATTTCTCTGCCTATTCTAGTCTCGATACTTATAGAACTCATCCATTCTTTGTTTCCAAACCTCACCGAGCCCTAAATTAGTATATTAACGGAAGCCTATTTGATGTTTGTGAAATGTACTGAGAGAATTTTTTCTTTAACTCAGTGTGCACAATCAGTAACAGAGTATTTGCTTTGGTATTCATACAGAAAGCTCTTGCCGGCCTGAGGCGTATTGATCTTGATGGGTTGCGGTGGAAAGTATTTGATGCGAAAGGCCAGGTTGTTGTTTATAGTTTTTATACTATTTATGGTAGCATTGAAGGGGTTGGGGTAGGAGATCGTTTTTCATTTTTGTTTTCAGAATTAATTTTGAAAACAAGTCCTTGTGCTTTATTTTCTAATACTTCTTGGGGCTACGAATATTGAGATGAATAAGTGAAATTTTATGAAATTAGATTTGCAGAGGGTGTATGCTGAAGCAAATGGCTTCTTGATCCAGTTTTTGATGAATTCTGAACTTGGTGGAATTGCATCGTTCAGTTGTTAGCATATCATTTACTTGAAGTAGCAACCTTTGCAGAAAAATAATGGCCATGTACCCTTCTTTTTAGGTTCTTGGAAGACTAGCATCTCAAATATCAACTGTGATTCAAGGGAAGGATAAACCAACATATGCTCCAAACCGAGATGATGGTGATATGTGCATCGTGCTTAACGCAAAGGATGTTTGTGTCACTGGGAGAAAACTAACCGATAAGGTTTATTATTGGCATACTGGGTAAGTGCAGTAGTTTTAGAATTACTTTTGTGAAAAGTTTTCAGTTCTACAACGAAGGGGAACTTCGTGAAAATAAGAGCATTCAAATCTTGTTGTATGATTAGTATAGTGCGACAGTCTTCATTTGAGCTTTGAACCTTTTTGTTTTAATGAGAAAGTCTGTCCCCTTAAAATTCATTGAAATCAGCAAACTAGTCCTTTAATATAATATTATATGTCTATATTTTAGTTCTAAACTTATCCCCACATCAGATTAATCGAAAAATTAGTCTTTTAATTCAGTTGTGGGAATCCTCAAGTTTAGTCAATAATTATATGAATGAGCAAAGGAAATGAATAGAATTGATTCATGATGTTTCCTAATACCCTCTAAATAACGTCGTCCTTGTCTTTGGTCTTGATGTTGAATCATATATGGCCTGTAGGTATATAGGTCACCTCAAGGAAAGGACTTTAAAGGATCAGATGGCCAAGGACCCTACGGAAGTCATTCGCAAAGCTGTATTACGTATGCTCCCAAGGAACAAATTGCGTGACGTAAGTTTTATGGTAGTAGCTTTTCTTCTGTTACGTTTTAGTTTATAACACTATGGTAGCATCAACTCTAAGGTTGCCCAAGCTAGAGAGGACCTTACTAGATTGCAGTTACTCCACTTGCAGGATCCTTCCAACTCTGACCTGGCAAATGCATATAATTATTTGCTGGTCTAGTAAATTATCTTACAGCATTCCTTTAATTTGGATGCAGGATAGAGATAGAAAGCTGAGGATATTTGTTGGCGGTGAACACCCCTTTGGTGATCGGCCCCTTGAACCGTATCTGATGCCCCCTCGGCAAGTTAGGGAAATGCGACCACGTACAAGACGAGCCATGGTCCGAGCTCAGAAGAAGGCTGAACAGCAACAACAGGATGTTAATGATCCACGTAGGGGAAAAAGGAAGGACAGACCTGAAGTGAATGCATGAAGAGTTATTTAAGCTTATTTGCTTTTATGAAAGATATCAGGGGGCCTGAATCATGACTTCTTCAGAGTATAAATTTAACAGACGGATGTGCTGATTTCACATCAGCAAGGAGGCAGATTGTCTTTACGACATCATTCCGAACATTTTCTGTGTTGTACTCTGTTATTTTGTAGACAGCATATGATTATTTTGAATCTTATTGACAGATCTTTGGAAAAATAAAATTAGACTAGTCATAAGCTTTTAAGACATCTAATTTTGATGAAATAAATACAAGAGAATGGTAATGCCTAAAAAACACTAAAATAATCAAATGGTTCAATGACTATGATATTGGTGAGTTCTTGAAATGGTCTTTTGAAGAAATAAAAATAATGGTTTTGGAAATGGTCTCCTTTTCTGGAAGAAGATATTTATAAATTACGGTACGTGTCAAAATAATTCATAAAATAAAATTTTAAAAAAAAACTTCTAGACACGTATCAAATTGTCATTGTACTTATCCTTTGAAGTAATTTTACGTAAGCGTAATCAATTCGAAATAAAAGATAAACAAACAAAAAATCCTTTGAATGGATGGGAGGACGAGGAAAATTGAAGCTGACACTCCAAAGAAGAAAATGAAGGGAAATGTTAGTTTTCCTTCCTTGTTTTACTTTTCTCCCTCATTAATTGTACTCAGCTTCCATGCATCTTCTTCTCCTCCTTCACGGCAGCCTGGGCCATCAATCACGCTATGAAAATGGTTACGTGGCGCGCGCCTAGTTGTGTATATGGACTGTTTCTCAAAGTCACGAATGTTCTTAATCAACGTTTTAATTTGATGTGGTTGGCAGTCTTCCAATTCTCCCAGTCTTGCCAATTTGACATTTCTTGGGTTTCAGTATCTAAATTAATATCTACTTGTTTTTTTTATGTTTGCAAGTAATATATACTCGTGCCAGTATTCAAAGTACCAGCTGTTACAAATAAACCTATGAAGTTATCACTTGTGTAACACAGAGACTAAGCGTTTATGACCCGTTGCCTAGTATTGATGACCTATCATCTATTGGGTTTAATCCAAATCTCTCTAGAGGTTTTTGTTTTTTTCTCTATGGGGTTCGAACGTGACACCACTCGTCTGCAAATTAAGGCAATTTTCTAATAGGCTAGAGACTCTATAAAAGATCTTTTAGTAACTTCTTTATTAATGTTTATATGTGACTAGAAACTATTTAATAGTTATCACATTTCCCGTTTACATGTGAATCTGTGACTAAGTTAACCCTTATAATTAGACATATTTTTCCAATTCACTTTTTCTACACTTAATTACTGGCTCATATGATGACTTCAATTTTTCTGGATTGGATTTGAATTTTCTGTAATACTTATTTTTTGGGATAATGTAAACAGGGGACTTTATTGTCAATGACGACATCTAGGACCAAATATTATGAGTAATTTGTTAGTTTCCTTAGGGTCCTGTTTACGTGTTACCATGGCAGCTTAGACCCGTAATCAAAATAGCAAGAAAAGATCAAAAGTTAGGCACGCTACAAGCCCTATATAAAGCACCCCCTGGCACCCAAGTTTATCATCATCCTCCTCACCAAATTACAAGTTAATTAAGTTTATCAGCAACAGCTAGCCAATTAAGACATTTCCATGATGATGATGAAGAGCCAAGCAGCTCTCCTCGGCCTCACCACCTTGGCCATCCTCTTCTTCTCAGGTATAATATTATACAAACTTTGTTAAGTGATCAGATATCGATCAAAAGTTTATTTTTACAATTGTCTCTATAATCTGTATTCTTATGATCATGTTCTTGAATATGCAGGTGCACATGCAGCTAAAATCACTTTCACAAACAAATGTTCCTACACTGTCTGGCCAGGAACCCTAACCGGTGACCAAAAACCTCAATTGTCACTCACCGGGTTCGAGTTAGCAACCGGAATTAGCAACTCTGTGGACGCTCCGTCCCCATGGTCCGGTCGCTTCTTTGGCCGAACCAGGTGCTCCACGGACGCGTCAGGAAAGTTCACTTGTGCCACAGCAGATTGTGGCTCTGGCCAAGTCTCATGCAACGGTAACGGCGCAGCTCCGCCAGCTACATTAGTAGAAATCACTATTGCTGAGAACGGGGGTCAAGATTTCTACGATGTTAGTCTTGTTGACGGCTTCAACTTGCCTATGTCCGTGGCTCCACAAGGCGGCACCGGCGAGTGTAAGGCCTCAACTTGCCCTGCCGATGTTAACGCGGTGTGCCCGGCTGAGTTACAAGTGAAGGGATCTGATGGAAGCGTAATTGCGTGCAAGAGCGCTTGCTTAGCATTCAACCAGCCACAATACTGTTGCACTGCCCCTAACGACACGCCGGCGACATGCCCTCCCACTGACTACTCTAAGATCTTCAAGACCCAGTGCCCTCAAGCTTATAGCTATGCTTATGATGACAAGAGCAGCACCTTTACATGCAGTGGTAGACCTGACTACCTCATCACATTCTGCCCAACATAAGCATATATATGTATAATGGGATCTTATATGATATGATAGTATACATATAGTTCCCAATAATAGAGAAGAAATAAATTTCCTGGATCTTGACACATTGTTGATGTCAAGAATTTGTAATGCAGACGATCAAACAAAGGAATAAATGTTTGGATTTTATTTTCGCTCATGGCTTTCAAATTTTTGTTTCCTTCGTTTCCTTATATGATGCATTATTTCCAGCAACAAAGCATGAGCATAATATAAAGATAGATTGATAGCTCTTTGGACGTGGACTTACCGAAACATATATGAAGGGAGGAACCCAGATGTTAGAAACGAGGGGTATAAATGGAATAAATGAAACCTTTGAGGTACGGTCGTAATTATGCCAGACCCCAGGGGGTTTAACTGAAAATATCCCTAATGTGTTATTTGACTCCATTTTAACTGAAAATATCCCTACACACTCCCTTTACTATTCCTTGCCGAGAGAACAGCGCCAATCCTCAGTTCAGTTCCCTCAACACCATTGCGACGCTCAACAGCTCCGATCCAGCGACGCCATCCGCTTGAAGATATTTCTTCGACGTCAGCTGGAGCTGCTCGGGCTTTCCAATTTTATTTTGAGTTCAAGGCAACCACTTTTCTCTCTCTTCCTAGAGTTCGTGATTCTTACAAGTTCAAAGTTAGAGTTATGCAATGATTTGGGTTTTCAGATTTTTTAAATAGGGCTAATTAATTACAGTGTTGGTTTTGGTTTCTGGGGTTTTTGATTTAGGCTGGAAGGGCTAATTAATTGTAATATTATTTTGGGGTTTTGGGGTTTTCGATTTTGATTTTGGTTTGTGGGTTGTTGATTAACCTGTGAGCGCGGCAAACAGGTACCCATTGGAGATATTGAATTGCTTTCTGAGCAAACTAAGAGATGGCGAGTGAGGAAGAGAGTGCCGTGAAGGAGCCGTTGGATCTGATACGGCTCAGCCTCGACGAGCGCATCTACGTCAAGCTCCGCTCCGACCGTGAGCTCCGCGGTAAACTTCATGTACGTCTCCACACCCCCACCATGCCTCTTACTCTGCTCTAAATTAGGTTTTGTCTACTTTCTGAGTTGTTCTAATTAGGGTTCTAGATTTGGCAAAAACTAAAAATGAAAAGAAAAGAAAGTTTAGGGTTTAAAGTATGCTGCTTTAGTGTTAAGTGGTGAATGGAAATTAGGGTTCTTTCTTATGATATGCGTGAAGTATACAATATCTGTTTTCTTTTATTATTTTCCAAGGAAAAGCCATAACCTTTTTTATTTTTTATGCATTTTCTATAATTGTCTGTTTTTGCGTTTGGGTTGATTGAGAAAAGTGATATGAATGAATGAACTCGAGTCTTTTCATTTTATTGCAATTCTAAGTATTTTTGCTTCTTGTTTTTGTAAGTTTTAAATTTTCTTTCAAATGTTGGAGCTTGTTGAGTATGGAAAGATACTTACAGTGGTTACTTTGACACTACTATGATTATGGAACTGATGATGGTGGTCTATTGGTGGTTAATATTAAATAGTTTATCAATTCTAGAGTGATGATTTAGTTTGCTCTTCGCCTCATCTTATCATGAAATTATACCCTACTATATTCTCCCATTAACTGATCGAGGCAAAATGTGTGGCTGTATAAGAAATCTGTAGCCATCTTTATTATTTTTTCAGAGGTAAATCCTCTTTTTTCTTATTCTTGGGTGATTCTGTTGACTTTTTGAGTAAGCAATACTTCTTAGCCAGCATTGCTATTGTCATAAGAGTTATGCTAAGCCAACCAGTGATGCTTTCCAAATCATCTTTCTTTTCCCCTTCACCTTTGTTTGCATGTTCCTCAAAGGTACTTCTAATCAAACAATGAATAATATGTCCTAAAGGACAGAAAAGAAAAATTACAAGTTGTTGGTTCGGAAGGTTGTTATGCGAGGACCAATTGTCGAACTTGATGCAATGACATTAGGGATTAGGAGAGGTGGGAGGGTGAATCAGAAAGTTGCTTGTATGTTTACAATTATGTCAGCTGGTTCTGCTAATTGTTACTTATGATTGTGGTTATAAAGCTTAGTGTCTGATTCTTATTTTGTTGTTTCAAATCTGGCTTTGCAGGCTTATGATCAACACTTGAATATGATTCTTGGTGATGTTGAAGAAGTTGTTACTTCTGTAGAAATTGATGATGAAACTTATGAAGAGATTGTCCGGGTATGTGACTCACATTCTGTTTTCTTCATCACAATTTTTGATTTTATTTTTAAATTTAGTTCATTTATTTTCCAATAAATTTTAATTTGTAATATTGTTTTCCTGGTGGAGTACATTGCATGAAAAACCAATAAATAAATAAATAAATAAAAATTGTAACTTTAAACCATGGGATAGAACTGCTGTAGTGACGGTACCCTCAGGTTGTTCCAGAGGCAATACTCTTTATTACCTATGGGAGTGCTTACCTAGATCTGAATGTTTCTGCATTACCACTGTGCACTTTGCTAAATTTTGGAAAACTTCTGCCAATGGAAATTTATTTTCAGCCAGATATGAAAAAAAAATTGTGTGGATTCTCTGTATTGAACCCTTGATAGGTCACATCTGCTCCTGAGTGAGTTTAAGTTGCCATTCATTTATCTTATCATCAAAAGATGACTGCAGTGAAACTAATGTAAGTTAACATCTTATTTTGTCTTTTACAATTCATAACCAAACAACATATCAAATAAATTGCTTTTAGCTCGAGGCATTTCCATTGAGAATGGGTTAGAGCTGATTCATGAAATACATGGTTGTGTATTGAAATATTAACATTGATATAGACAATCAAAACCCTAAAACGTAATTAACGAAGAAAAGGTACAAAATGATGATAAATATTTGTTTGGTTTTTCATCAACTATATTGTATTGCGTTTGGTTTTAACATAGATCCTTCCTTGTTTGGTCTGGTATGTTTCGGCTGTTGTTACTCGCTTGGTCCTGTTTTAGACGATGACCTTTTTTCCCCTCTTCTTCCATTGCAGACGAAAAAACGGACTGTTCCCTTTCTCTTTGTCAGAGGAGACGGGGTCATCCTTGTTTCACCTCCTCTAAGAACAGCTTGATTTAGTTACTTCTATTGGGAAATCAATTGTTGGACATTTAACAAATCTCGCACTCTGTTATTCTACTTTTAAATTTCTAAATGAATGAGATTTTTTGAATGGCAAGTACGCATGACCAAATTTTCAACTGTTCTTTGATGCAGCCAAAAGAATGGTATGTTAAGTCTCTATCCTCTTTTGTTTTTTGTCTCGCAGACGGAAGTATGATCTCTATATATTCTTGCCCAGCCCCAGTCTTTAAAACAATTCAAAGAGTTTAGGCCATCCTCGCTTCAGCCAAAAAAAGAACTGGGGAATTGGTCAGCTCAAGGGTCACCTAATTTGTGGCTGAGATTTGATTCCAACGGAAATCTAAAGGCTGCCATTCAAAGCAACCAACGGTAACTAAACAAAACATATATTTAGTCTAATGGTTATTAATTTGGACCGCCCAGATTTGAAGTTGAATGCAGTTAAGAGCTGAAATTTGAAGGGCAGCAACGGCTAGCAGTCAGAATTTCTGCAATTTTTTCCCTTCTTTTTAACGGCTATTTCAACAACTTTTCCTATATATATAACTCATTTCGCACAAATTTCACAACATACAATTTTCACACCTATGTTTATTTTACCTTGCTCGTTCACAAAGTTTCTTTTTCTTGTCCTTTTACTCTCATTTTACTTGCACCAATGGGAGATGATGAAGAAGGTTCCAATAAAAATGGTGCAAATTGCTCCATCCACAAAGATGTAGCTCTATGCAGAGCCTCAACGACGTCTCCAATGCCTACTCCCAATTCTCTCAACGATAATGAATCGATGGAGTCTGTTTCGGTAACCCAAAATGTCCCAGAAACAGCAAACCTTCATCGAAGGCCTATTCGAAACAAAAAGGCTCAAGAACGAAAAAGAAAGGATATTATGCATGATCTCATGGATCAAGGTAATGCTATGGCTAAAGTCATGAAGTCTTACAAGGAAAGTTATGACAAGAACAAAGAGTTTAAGGTTATGATGATGGAAACTTCTACAATTGAAACTCCGGCTAGAAGAGCCAAAGTTAAAGAGAAACAAAAGGAGATTATGGCGAAACAAGCCTCCCGTTGTCTGAACTTTGACGATGACATCTATCATCCAGAACCGCCATCGGATGACTCCTAGAAAGGAATGATTATCATGTATTTGTTTTATTGTATGTTATTATAGTTTGTTCACGGAGCATGTTGGAAGTTTAAGAAATAAAGTGTTGTTATTTCGTGTCATTAATGAATTGTTTTCGTAGTGCAATATATATATCAACTTATTTTATTTCATATTTCCTTCATGTGCAAGGACATTTTGCTAGTTAGGTATTGAAAGCATAAAACAATTCACTTAATTCTCACCTCCATATTGCCTCCACTCCACAAGTGTTTTTTTTTTGTTTTTTTTTGTTTGAGAATGAGAATTCATAAAACCAGAGACGTACAAAGAGTGACATGATACAGTGGCTTAGTTAAAACCTTCCTAGGACAATCTCATGGGACAAATCCCATGGGAGGAAAAAGTACCACACATGTCATGGACTAACAAGAGAGTCCAATTCAGATCACTTTGGACCATTACAATAAAAGAACAAATCAAAAACAAAAACAAACACAAAGAACTCCGATGAGAACCGCAACTAAAGACTAACACAGTAGAAGACCGCAGAAACCCCAAATAGTAAATCCACATGAAAGGATTGCAGAAACCCCAAATAGTAAACCCACATGAGAGGACCGCAGAACATCCTAATTGTCAAAAGAAGTCTTCTATGAGCAAAATCATAGTCCTTTGACACCCATACAAACTGTAAGGGACATACCATAGCAGAAACCAGGAGAGAACATGAAGGAGGAACACAGAAACAACAGTAAAAAGACTCCTAAGAAGCACTCAACTTCCACTCAAAACTTGACAAAGAAAACCTCTTATGACCAAGCATAGTTCTTTGGTTGGCACAGAGTAAAGAAGAGCACCACATCCCAACAACTACTACTAGCGTCACTGCTGCCGATGCTGTTAAAACAAAGACAAAATATCAGTCATCAGTTATCACAACTCTCCCAAGGAGAGACACAATCCAATGTCACTACTGTCGCTGCAACCAAGACAAAGACAAAACCAGTCACCTAGAACACTGCAAAAACAACAAAACAAAACAAACATACCTAGATCCAAATAGATCTAGACTATCTGGGGAGGGAAAGGGGAGGAGAAGAGGGGATAAGAGGAAGGGAAAATATGGGAGAAAAAGAAGGGGAGATGAGGACAAGAAGATAGGCGGAGGGGAGGAGGGGCAATGGCCACCTCCCTCTCCCCCTAGCTTCCTTGCGGTTGGTTGTCAGCAAAGAGAAAGGAGACCAGAGTGCGGCTAGGGTTTTTCAGTTAGCTTTGTCCTTGGTAGATTGGAATTCCACTCCACAAGTGTTTAATAACATTATTTCGAAGGGTAATGTGACGGATTGGATCTGTCATTGCATGACGATTACTTCGATATTTATCAATGATTATTGGGCTGCCTCGGCGAGATCATCCACCACAAGATACACATAAGGTGTAGAAGACTTGGCATTGCCATCACAATCATATGTGAAGAATTATGAATGTCTTCAAAATCTCCCAATGTCTTCCCGATCGCAAAGAGAGCTTGAAGGATCTCTAAACATCCTTACGATAAACCTCTTGCATTTTGGAGAATAATTTTATTTTATAGTCTTTGAGGCTCTAAAATTGATTGGACGATAATGGTCTATTTGGGATAAATATACCATCTATAAGATAGTATCCGTGCTTGTATTCTCTATCATGAATATTAGGGGTGCAAGTTGGATTGGAAATTTCAATTCCGATCGATTTCAATTCGAAAACTTTCAATTTTGGTGAGTACAAATCAATTAAGACATTCGAAAGTTCCGAAATCTAAAAATTCTGAATTTTTTAATATTAGAATTGAAATGTATCTCAAGTTTTCAAATTTAGAAATATTTTGAGGGATAGACTACACATAATGACTAATTTCATGTTAAACTAAATATGACTTAATGACCAAATAGATATAGACAAGTTATTGTATAAAGTAGGGGTGGTTGCGGTTCGGTAACCGCGAATTTTTACTCAAACCACAAATCGACCGACTATTTGCGGTTTGGTGATTTTTGAAACCGCAAACCGACCGCATTTTGCGGTTTACCGATTTGCGGTCGGTTACCGCGAATTAGCGGTTTAAAACCGCAAGTTCTCAAGCATTCACAAAAATATAAATTCACAACCTAAATAAATAAATACACAATCTCAATTTCTCAAACATATATAAATTCACAATCTCCTAAACTTCTCAAGCATTCACAACCTAAGAAAATTAAAGTTACAATTCCAAGCATTCCAATTAAAGTTAAACTTCTCAAACATTTCAATTCCAAATCATTTAAAGTTACAAACCAAAAGGAAAATGCAAAGCAAAATGAATTAAAGTTACAACTAAAAAGAAAAATCCAATTCAAAGTTAATTAAAATTACAAACTAAAAGGAAAATGCAATGCACCAATGTTACAAACTCAAGTGTTGGTGGTGAGTGGATTTGAAAAACTCCGTTGTGTTGTTTGAGCACCAATGTTATCTACAAATAAAACAACATAGTAATGTTATCTACAAATAAAACAACAAGGTTTAGTTATAACAAGAAGCATAAATAACATTAGTATAAATAAACTAATTACTTACAAGTTGTCATATGTTTCATTTTCTTGTAGAATTCAACCTCATCATCCGTGCGGCTATACTTTGCGGTTTGCGGTAACCGCAAGTTTTGAAAATCAAATACCGCAACCGCAACCGCAAATGCGGTTCGGTTTACCGCGATTGCGGTAAATTGTCGGTTGGTTTTTGCGGTTTTTCGGTTTAAAATGCCACCCCTAGTATAAAGACTAATAACAGGGGGTGGAACTACCTACAAGGTTTTTGAAGAATTTTTTGAAAACCTATTGTAGCCCATGTTGTTTTTAAAGAAAACAAAATTAAACCTATAAAGCCCATCAACTTGCCATTCCCACTTGTGGTTGAGGCCCTCATTTTGTGGTCTTCAACAGTTTACTCTTGATTATATAATAGGCTTAATTACACTAATGCCTCCTTAAACTACAGTCAAATTTCACATTGTCCCCTCAAAACTTAAAGTGACATACTTTGCCCCCATACCGTCAACTCTGTTAAATCTAATGACGTAGTATGGGCTTTTTGGTAATTTCATTCATATGCCCTTTTAAAATAATTTAAAGAAAATTTTATAAGAGCCTAAATTAAAATAAAAAATAAAAGCCAGCAACCACCATCTTCTCCACATTGCCAGTGCCACCACCATCTTCTTCACATCGCACCACCACCCCTGTCAGCAAACCCAGCCGCACTAACCCACCCCAAATTCAAGCCCTATCACCATCGCAAACCAATCTCCACCATCGAGACCCAACTATAAGAACAAGCAAGAATCAAGGGGCATATAATGTAGATCTGCAAGCCCTTCAATATGTCTCTTCTTTACTTTTCTTCACAACCTCTGAATCTCCTCTTTTGGACTATGGTGAGGGAGCCTACGTTGTTGAGTTGTGGGGGTGGGCCACCTGTGATGTGAAAAAGAGATAAAGAGGAAGGGATGGTGCTGCCCCTTCTCTCCTCTTCCGCTCCGCTCCCCCTTCTCCCTTAATTGACATGTTAATCTCGTAAAAGAATATAGCATACAAATGAGGTTTTTTGTTTTCGTTTTCTCGATATTCATGGGGTTTGATCCATTTGTTGCATGGTGAATTGGTTGTGTGTATGGGTTGTGAATTGGATCTAGCGGGGGATGGTGGGTACCAGGTTTGTAAAGGGAACTGTGGCAGATTGGTGCGTGTTGGGGTGTGGTCTACCATGGGCAAGTTACAGGTGGGGATGAAGTTCAACTTGAGGGTGGCGTGGGCAGCGTGGGAAAGATTGGGGGAGATGGTGCTTGTAGGGAAGAAGATCGGGGCTGTGGTGAAAAGGATGGGGGCTGCGAATTTAATTTCTTACTAAAACAATTTTAAATTTTTGTTTCTTTTTTCTTTGGCTTTATGATTTTTTTTTATTTATTATTTAGAAGTTGTTTGATTAGTTTATTGCTTTTGTGAAGTCCATGTAAGCATACAATAGCCCACGTGTATAAAATTACTTAAACACTCTTGTCACGTCATAAATTTAAACAAAATTTTAGATGGAGTTGATGATATGAGACAAAGTGGGTTATCAAACCACGATCAAAGAGGATAAATGGGCCACTTCAAGTTTGAAAGGACGATATGAGATTTGACTATAGTTTTGGGGTATGTAATTAAGCCTATATAATATAGTAGAAAAAAAAATTGTTTTTTAACTATTTCCTCCTTCGGAAGCAACGGTAGTTTTATTGGAAGGTCAACTGTTGACCTTTGACAGCCGTGCACCATTTTCCCATGCAAAGTCACACGTGCGGAACGTAACTAACTAAATAAATGTGAATCACTAGATGTACAGCCAATAGCTGAATAGCATAAGATCCACGGTTGAAATGGCGAGACAGCATGGATCGTAGTACCGATGCGTAGCATCTGATCTCCCACCTTCCTTCGATCCTTCCTCTCAACTCAACGACTCGATCAGGAGGAGGAGCCCCTGAGAAATCAAAGTAATACCAGAGAGAGTGAGCCCCTGAGATCTGCTTTGGTTCAGTGGTTCTTCCATGGCGTTGTGTTAAGGCGGTGGAGATAGTGAGGCTTCGATGGACGTGGAGAGGTCGTCGTTGTGCAATTGCGTTGTGAATTTTCTGCTGGAGGAGAACTACTTGCTCACGGCGTTCGAGCTGCTCCATGAGCTTCTCGACGATGGCAGAGACAACCAGGCCATTCGACTCAAGGACTTCTTCGCTGACTCTTCTCAATTCCCACCCGATCAGATCTCTCGCTTCAACTCTATTCGAGGTTTTTACGATACACTCTCCTACACGCACTTCTAAATCTGTTTGAATTGGTTAATTGCAAATTGTCTTTGTTCTGTTTGGTTGCTGAGAAAATGTGGGGAAATGTGGGGAGCATTAGAGTGGAATTTAGTTTTCTTCTTTGTTTTCTTGGAATTTTCAATGGCATCAAAATGGCGCGCTTGTGATCTTTTACTTGTTCTGCTTTTGAAGGATCCTTCTATCTCTTTTAGTGTTTGGGGGTCAATGAAATTTTTGGCTTCGAAACCTTATTGTTGATGGCATTTTATGTCGAAAATGGAATTTGATTTTGTTACTAGTTGATGAACTGAAGAAGTGTTAGGAATGCTTTCAGTCATGTATCCAAATGGGTTACTTGAACCATCAGATAGCAGCACTTCATAAAGGAGCTGGTATGGCGAATTGAGAAGCATTTAGTTCAGAAACTTATCAATTTAGTGGAACTATTACTTTCTGCAGAAAAGAAATGACTTAACATATTTCAATAGTGCAACCAAAAGTATGAGTATGTTGTGGATGCATAATTGTATTCCCTCTCTTTTCAGCTGCAAGGGCGAGGTGTGAATATCTGTTTCTTTGTTCTGGAGTCATATAGAGTTCTCTTTCTCTGTGTCATTTCTTCAAGAGGAACTGTGCTTGCTTCTTGGTTCCCTTTTCGATGGCCCACTTGGATTCTCACTCATAAGAAACCTTATATTTCAACAAAAATAAGATTTGTTAGAATTAGTATAATGAGTTTTGGTTGCTGAGGTTTATCCTCAGTCAGAGAAACTCAAAGAAGAATATTGAAGGACTCTTTGTTTAACAAGTTTACCACCCCAGCCCCAAGCCAAATTTTACAAAGAAAGAGAAGTTTGCAAGATAGGAATCCCATCAATTTTGTGCATGATGCAGCCTGTAAGTGAAACGGTAAAGGGCATCAAGAGGGGAGGGGTGGGGCTAGTGCCATATTCTGGATTTGTGCTTCCAAAGCATCAGAGACTCTTTTTAGAGAAAAATGAAAAAGGAAAGCTTCGTTTAGAGAAGTGCGCAACAGTGGAACAGAAAGCCAATACGGCCTACAATAACAATTTCAACAGCCAAGGAAAACAAAAAGGCCCTAAACTGCAAACATCACACAAACAAGACCAACAAGCCTACTAACAGAAAGTTAAGTTGATGTAGGACAGCATGAACAGAGAGGACAAAATAAAGAGATCCGGACTCACTCTGGCCTTTGGCATCACACCAAAGGTGTCAAGTTGAGAAATTAGAAAATTTCTGGCATCACACCGAAGGTGACTTGGAATCACTCCAAGACAAATTGTGCCACACACAAGCAGGAATTCTCAAGAACTTTTATCTTTCACTAACTCTGATTTTAAGCATACAAAGTAGCCCCTTTTATAAGGTAATTGGTAAATGAATCTGGAAAGGTCCACATTAATACACTTGGGAATTCTAAGGACATAATTATTACACCTAATACATTAATCATGTGACATAGGGAGACTCAAAGACAATAAGCCTGCAGAAATTGCATTTGTTACGTAGGAAACGAGAAAGACTCTCCTTTACTAAATTTTGAACTTTGCTCCTGCATTATAAGGGGAAAAAAAGCCTAAATTGAACTTTCTCAATACCATGGCAGAACTCATTTACAAATGTTTTATCCTAGTTTTCTTTCTCACATCTTAATTGTAGTGATGATGATATCATAATTTCGTAATATGATTTTACTTATCATAGTCTTCATGTCTCTGCTTGATTAACTGATAATTTGAACTTGATAAGGAAATTTTTTTGAACATTTTTAATGCTTGTCAGTCACTCCAGAAATCTGGATACTTAATATTCCCTTTTGGAACATTACTAATGTTTTTTTGCTTTCTACTGCTTTCATTTCTTAATGCAGTTGCAGATCCTCAAAGTTTGCTAGAAGAGAAAGAAGCAGTAGAAGAAAAATTAGCAATTAGTGAATATGAACTTCGTTTAGCCCAAGAGGACATTTTGAAACTGAAGACTGAATTGCAGAAGAAAGCTGAATCACCTGTAAATGAATCAAGAGGTAATTTTTTCATCTGTGCAGAATCTCAAATTGTATTCTTATGTTTGTTTCTGCTTCTAATATGATACATCTTTCTGTATCCACTATGATTTGTTAGCTCAATAATTTCTACTTAGTAACCATGCATTTATAAAGAATCGATGCCTTATGGTTATTAAATCATTGAACATATCTTGTCATGAAGACCGACCATAAAGCCATATCCTGAACACGGACATCCTTGCCTGTTCTTAGTTGTACTAGATTTCAGTTTTCTAGAAAACCATGCGAAAAATGCATGTCAATGCTGGAGACTTACCCCTTTGTTTTTTTTTCCTCTACGTGATTCATTGAAGTTGTATTTTTGAGAATCAGCATTAGACCTGTAAACAGTGGAAAACCAGAGATACACTGTATATACAATAGTTTCTTTACTAGTAAAGCACAAAAGATTTTGTTCCATGACTTTCTCCTCGGGTTTGGATTCAGGTTCAAATTCCAGTGTTTCTGTAAATAATGGACCAGAATTTCAGCGGCAAAAGAGAGATGTTTCCTTCTCTCATTTGGGTCCATTGAAAGATAATGAACGCAGAGATCTTAACTGTGCTGTAAAAGAATATTTGCTTATAGCAGGGTACCGGCTTACTGCAATGACGTTTTTTGAGGAGGTATGGATCACTATAAATGCTTAGTTGTCTTTTTCTCTCGTTGCCTCTAATGTCTTGTTTTCTTCCTATCCTTTTATCCTCAGTATTTATATAGGAGACGGGATGACTTCTTATTTGTGACACACGCTTAGTGAATTCAACTACCATTAGTAGTTTATTTGTCTCGAATTGTAAACAGGTGGTCTTGCTAGGGGAACTGGACAACACATATAAGCAAATTGTACTGGATTTAATATGCATGTGCAAACTAAATTAAAAGTATATTGCAATTAGAATTCTACATTAGTTAGAAATATTTTGTTTCCTAGGGGTTTTAGTTGTTGAGTTTGGTGTTAAAGTTTATTGGGTTATTGATACTTCCTTGTAGAGATTTAAAATATATTTGTTTTGTTTTGAGGTCCATCTTGTTGGTGAGGCACATGATTTCCACCTTAGTCCTTTTGGAAGACATCAATTGATTTGGCGGAGGTGTCTTGAGAGTTTTGAAGATGACAAACTAGTTATATGTTTAATTATCACTTGGTGTAATACCTTCTCTATCTCTTTCTTTGACTTAACGATGATGAATAACTAAAAAAAAAAAAAAAAAAAAAAAAAAAAAAAAAAAAAAAATTTTGTTGGTTAAAATTACTGTCGTGAGTGAAGAACCCGTAGTGCTCATGGATTAAAACTTCCTGCTCACGGATTGAGTTGCTTATTATTTAAGTAATGAAAGCTTTGTAACATTGTAACAGCAGCAGGCTTAATTTATTTTATCAATAAATAAAAAAGCAAATAGGTTTTAGAAAAACAAGTTCTAATAAAAAGAAAATTAAAACGTTTTACTAGATAGGATTTTATCTGTTTATTGCAGTAAGCAGTGGCATTGAACAAATTTTTTAGGAATTATGCCACTAGGCTGACCTATTTGGAGGCCCATTAGATTTCTAAACCTTTGCATCGGGTGAATGTTGTGTGATTATCACTTTGTGTGTGTGGCCATGTTGACATGTTATCATACCCTGTTTGACTAATCTTCAAATGTTTTGATAACCTATCAATACATTCTCCCCAGGTCACAGACCAGAATCTAGATGTTTGGCAGGACTCACCTGCATGCGTGCCAGATGCTTTGCGCCATTATTATTATCAGTATCTTTCGTCCACTACAGAGGCTGCTGAGGTATTTCTTGAAACATGTGATGTTGGAAAGTGCTGAAATCTATAAAAATTACGTCTTTTACCATGCTTCACCTAGCTTGTTAGACAGGGGCTTCAAAGTTTTGCAGAACTTCTGCTTTCTTACACCTGGCCTGTGGCATGTTTTCTGTATGTTTTAATCACTCAGGGAGCAGAAATAGGCTTAATATTTAGAATGCAGTTATTCATAAATAATTCTTTAAATGTGATGCCTTTTACCACTCTTCACCAAGCTTGTTGGAGAAAGGATTCAATGTTGTTCACCTTGCCTCTACTTTCTTGCACCTGAACTGTGGCCTGCGGCATGTTTGTTGTATGCTTATCACTTGGTGGAGGACAAATAGGCTTAGTCAATTGTAATTAAATTCATATGATTGTTTGGTTGTTATATAGAAAAATAAAAATGATTAAGAGACGTTCCTGCATATCCTTTAAAATATAATCAAGCAGCATCATAAATTAATGTATCATTAAATGCTGAGTGTTGCTAATTCTATCAAATAATCCAGGTTAAGCACTTTGGAAATCTGAGATTACTACCACAACTAAACCCATCTCTTTTACTTTGCGATGTCTTAAACAGATTAGTTTTTTTTATGCAAATTATTTTTCTAAAACCTTGGGCAATGAGCATAATGATTTGTAGATCTGTGGGCTGACATTTTTTCCCCTTATGTTTGCTCATAAATAATTAATCAATGTGCACAGTGCTTTTCCTTAATGGTTGTCTTTTGATTGCAACAATTCTTGTTATGGATACTTACAGTGTAGATTTGAATACCTAGATTGCCTTGATGCTTCTCGAGTCTTATAAAGTTACTTAGTTACATTATTGATTCTTGTGAATTCTACTTTTTGCTTTTCCTAAATTCAACATAAATAATAATTTTCTATGTTCAGGAGAAAATTACCATGCTACGAGAAAATGATTCGTTATCGAAAGAAAAAGAGACTTTGTATCATGAAAAGCTGTGCTTGCTTAAAAACAAAGATTTGGCTGAAGGTCAAATCAGTACACTAAACAAATCATTGGAAGGTCTGCAGAAGGACCTTAAAGATAAAGAGAACCTTGTAAGCCCCCTTACTACACTGCATTCTGAGCTTCTATCCAATGAAGATTCATACGTAAGAAAATAACACACCATTTGTTTCAGGTACAGAATTTGAAGCAGTCCCTGGAGCACCAAAGGAAGGAGCTCAATGATTGTAGAGCCGAAATCACTGCTTTGAAAATGCATATTGAAGGATATTGTTCTGGACGGAATACGGTAGCTGCTGATGCTGATCATGTCCAATCCCTGTCCTTGGAAAGATACAAGGAAGAAGTAAAATCACTGCAGATGGAACTAGAAAGTTTAAAATCCAAACACGCAAAAGCTCCTGATTTTTCAGATTCCACTAATTCTGAGAAAGAGTCTGTGCAAATGGAAGAAAAAGTCGTTGTCATGGATGAAGATAAAAGTCTAATCTCGCATCCAGTTGATGTAGTATCAAGAGTTGTGGAAAAGGAAGATGATCAATCTCTGCCTGCTCAAACTTTTGATGACAATATAGTTACACCTAAGGAAATTCCACAAGAGTTTCCAGTGGCTCCTTTGAATGATAGCAGTACCTTGGTCAATGATGAAAGTGTCTCCAAACAAAATAATGAACCATCATCAGGCGGAAGGCTACATCTAACGTCAGAGGATCTTAGTGCTGGAATTGTTTCCGAGAAAAGGGCAAGTTCCTTGTACCTTTCTTTTGGGGCATCAAAGCCTTTACTGCTGGACTGGATCCGAAGTGTTTTTCTTCTTCCAGGGTTGGCTGGGGGCATCCCTTTTGTTTTTTGTTTTTTGTTTTGGATGGACACCCATCTAAATTCTAAATAATAGAACTTCTTAGATATAATGATTTTTAAAAGCTTTGGAATCCCGCCCGTCCCCTCTGTTTCTTATTTTTTTCTTTTTAAGTTATGCTTGTACTTTGACAGGGCCTAGAGACCATTCAGATCCTTGCTGATGCTTTGCCCAAGATTGTTCCTTATGTTTTGATCAACCATCGTGAGGTTTGGTTCTTCCCTTCTTTTCATGATATACAGACATACATATATATGCACACACATATATATTTATATATATTATAGAGTTCTTAATTGGACAAGACACTTAAGAGAGAACGGACGGGTTAAGAAAACCTCACTTCTGCTCAATTTTCTTCAGCTTTGTTAGCCATTTATTGACATGGTCGATTGCTTTTAGATGTAGAATCACTATTTAGAGCTTAGGTTTAGGTTTTAGTCATGGATTATCTTGTCATTTAGATTTTAGGTTCTAAAGGGTCATTCTATATCCTAAAGAATCAACCCTGTCACTATAATGAAATAAAGTTGAAAAACTTGAGAGTACATGAGATTTTCTAGATGCGACCATCCTGTAAGAAAGAACAGACATCGTGCAGAGAGAATCTCACATATATTATATGTATGTGTATGTATTTATATAAATATGTATCATATGTATGTATATGGATCTTTAAAGAGCTTATTGGTATTATCTATTTACAGGAGCTTCTTCCCCTGATCATGTGTGCGATTGAGCGCCATCCAGATAGTAGCACTCGAGATTCCTTGACCCACACGTTGTTTAATCTAATCAAACGTCCAGATGAGCAACAAAGAAGAATTATAATGGATGTAGGCTGTTAGTCGAAGTACTTCATTTATTTGTAAATAGTTGCTTTGTTTTTATCTTGTTCCTGAATCTTCTAACTGGATTTCAGGCATGTGTTACCCTTGCTAAGAATGTAGGAGAGATGAGAACAGAAACAGAATTGCTTCCCCAGTGTTGGGAACAAGTAAGTTTGAGCCTAAATCTTGTAGGGGTGGTCATCTTTAACCATTCTGTCATTTTGATAGCTTTGACGGATTACTCTGGTTTATGGGTTGCAGATAAATCATATGTATGAGGAGCGCAGGCTGCTAGTTGCTCAATCATGTGGACAGCTTGCAGAATTTGTCCGGCCTGAGATTCGTGATTCTCTTATTTTGTCTATTGTTCAGCAACTCATAGAAGATTCTGCAACTGTTGTCCGGGAGGCTGCTGCACATAATCTTGCATTGCTGCTTCCACTCTTTCCAAACATGGACAAATATTTCAAGGTCAGCCTCACTAATATGCTTCAGAGGCTCTCATGGAGAGGAATTCTGACTTGACAGAAATGGCTACAATGTAAGCTCTAGAATAGGTTGATGGAACATCGTCTAGGGAATGGAGACTTTCTCCTTATCATGACATGATAAATGACAAGAAAGATGTATAAAGTTGACAAGGATACTTTTCTCCATTATTTTACTGTATTTTATTTATTTATAGGTTGAGGATTTGATGTTCCAATTGGTATGTGATCCTTCTGGAGTGGTGGTGGAAACTACACTTAAGCAGTTAGTTCCTGCAGTAAACAACTGGGGAAACAAATTAGACCATATTTTAAGAGTTCTACTCTCTCATATATCAAGCTCTGCTCAGGTATGTTTTTGTTTAACTATATTTTCTCATTCATGATTGAGGTAATCTATTCCTTGTTTGTAATAGTTTCTTTTATTTACATCATTGTGACATTGCAGCGTTGTCCTCCCCTTTCGGGCGTTGAAGGGTCCGTGGAGTCACATCTTCGTGTTTTAGGTGAACGAGAACGCTGGAATGTTGACGTTCTACTACGGATGCTAATGGAAATGCTTCCTTTTGTGTACCAGAAAGCAATTGAGATGTGCCCAATTGCTTCTGATCCGGAAACAACTGGGACAATATTTTCTACATCTTTCCTTGAATTGTATGCAAGGTAAGGTCCACTTTTCTTCTTCAACTTTAATTATCTCATATTTCTTTAGAGTTCCTCTTATATCTTCTGACAGAGCATAACCTTTTGACTTTTTGTATTGATATAATGATATTGATAAATGGGAAAGACTTGTTTACTATAACTGCTTATAATAAATTTTATTATCTGGGTAGGGGACATGCTCAATTGCCTGCATTTGAGTGGCTGCATGTCGACTGTTTTCCTGCTTTGATACAGCTTGCCTGCTTGTTACCTCCAAAAGAAGATAGTTTGCGAAACCGAACCACCAAGGTATCTTCATTCTATCTTTTATGGATTTTAATATTACCTCATTAACAGTGCCTCTATGAATCGTTTCTGACCTTGATGAATGCAGTTCTTGTTGGCTGTATCAGAGCACTATGGGGATTCTTATTTGACACACATAATGCTGCCTGTATTCCTGGTAGCCACTGGGGATGACGCTGAGTTGACATTTTTCCCATCTGCAATCCATTCCAGAATCGAAGGTAATGGCACGGAAATGTTTTAAAACCCTTTCACACCAGTGTGCGATCTTTAATTGTGGCTATAATTTACGTAACAGGTTTGAGACCAGGAACGTCTGTGGCTAAGAGACTGGCTACTATGTGTGTCCTACCTCTTCTCTTAGCTGGTGTTTTGGGTGCCCCTAGTAAGCATGAGCAGTTAGTGGAGTACCTAAGAAAGCTTTTAGTTGAAGGTGTGACAAATCAGTCTACAAAGTGCAATGCTGAGATTGTTGATGCTGTTCGCTTCCTTTGGTTAGTAAAGTAATAAACACCCTTTGAAAACTAATTTTTCTTAATTATAAGTTATATCTTACTGATTGGCCTTTTTCCATAATGCAGCACTTTTGAAGATCATCATGGTATGATATTTAACTTACTATGGGAAATGGTTGTCAGCTCCAATATAGATATGAAGATCAATGCTGCCAATCTGTTGAAAGTCATTGTAAGTTTAGCCATTCTCTTGGAGTACTCATTTCTTCATGTGTCTGACTTTAAAACCAACAATTAATTGACAGCATCCATTTAATAGGTTCCATATATCGATGCAAAAGTTGCATCTACTCATATTTTGCCTGCCCTAGTTACTTTGGGCTCTGACCAAAACCTGAGTGTGAAGTATGCAAGCATAGATGCCTTTGGAGCTGTGGCCCAACATTTTAAAAATGATATGGTACAAATCTTTTCCTTCTGCAATCAACAAATTAGCTATCTTAATGGAACAGTTTTCGTTCATCTGGCTGATCCAATTGAAACCTCCCAGATTGTTGATAAGATACGTGTTCAAATGGATGCATTTCTTGAAGATGGATCACATGAAGCTACCATTGCTGTGGTTCGTGCATTGGTGGTTGCTGTACCACATACAACGGATAGACTTAAAGATTATATCCTTTACATGCTTACAGAAGAATGATAATTAGCACATTTTCAGCAAAGTGTTCATATGCGCACTCGTTATTCCTTGATCATTGTGCAATTTTCTACTGGATCCACTTTTTAATTGTCACTTCTTAACATTGTTACATCTTTTGTCCAAGATTTTTCAACTTACAGCCACTCCGCCTGCAAGTGACTTGATGCGCCGTCGTGAGAGAGCCAATGCATTTTGTGAAGCAATTCGTGCTTTGGATGCAACAGGTTTGCTGCTGCTGCTTTTTTCGCAGACCAAAATGTGATTTTTGTTGTGTTGGTGTTTATTTATCTTCCCTTTCCGTTTCACAGACCAGAATTATGGTGTTTATTTTATTGCTGGTTTTACATTTTCTAACGAACTAATGAGGAACCAAAAGTAGGGGAGAAAGCATGTGTAAAAACAGATAGTTCCCTGACAACTACCACCTTTGCCAGATTTCCTAACTTTAGCTTTCCCAGAATTCTAAGCTAGTTGGAATTATGTGTGCAGACTTTCGTTAACCTAAAATTATGTTAAATTGTCTGCAAAGTTTAAATTTGCATGGATTTATTTTTCAAGTTTTTAAATGTGTTATTGATATCAAGTGGCAAATGTGTTTAATTAATACAGATGTTTCAGCAAATAGTGTACGGGATTTCCTCCTGCCTGCCATACAGAACTTGTTGAGAGACTATGATGCGCTGGATCCTGCACACAAGGAAGCCCTTGAAATTATAATGAAGGAGAGATCTGGTGGAACTTTTGATACTATCAGTAAGGTGATGGGGGCTGGGCTTGCATCATCTGTGACTAGTTTCTTTGGTGAAGGTGGGTTACTGGGCAAGAAAGAAAATGTTGATCTACCGCCAGAGCCAGTTGAGTCTCCGAAGGCTGCACCAATGCCACCAGTCGAAGACACTAGGTTAAGGCGCATCATGCGTGGACATTTCACTGACATGCTCAGAGGCAAAGCAAAGGGCGATGAAACTTAGAACCAATAAAGTTGAGTTGTTACTGAAAGGGGTGGCAGAGTTTATTTTGCATCTAGCCATCTCAGGTGAAGATCATTTTGTTCTCAATATCAAGGTTGTGGTCTGCTGAAACCAAGGAATTCTTTTATTTTTTGGTGTCATAGAAAAAAGGGTTTAAGAAGGGAAGAGCAAATTTGTACTGCATTTTTATTGTTCTGGTTTTTTAGTGTAGAAATTGGATTGATCAACCAATTGAATTTAGTGGATAGTTCAGAACACATCATCTTGATCCTGAGCTCTTTGCTGTTGCTGGCGGTTATGTAAACCCAGGCTGCATGTTTTATACTTTTGATAAGTTGTATACCCTAATTTCATAAAAATAAAGTCGTTGTTAAGTTTCAAATTTGACGAGTTTATCTTCACCTCACGGTCCTCACCTCAATGTGTACTAGTGGTCTAGTTCCTAGTTTGACCCTAGCCTGCTTTGCTAATTCAATAAAAGGATTGTTGATTTGTTTGTACATATATTCTTTCTATACGAACGATATGGCAAACGAAGGGATCTAAACGCATTAAATGTTCTTTAACCACTTGAACTACAACTTAATTGCTTTGTTTATATTTTCGTAATTTTGTCCCGATTTAATTTTCGACCCGCGGCCATTGATGAGATGGTAATTCTTCACGTGGAGAAGAGGATATTTTTCTGCCGGTCATATTATAATTAGAGGAAACTTAGCAAGCCTTGTAGCACAGAAATTTTTAATTTTGTTTCCATCAACAATTGCACGTAAATATTTGTCTCATATTATAGCCAATCACATTACTCACTACCTAATATATCCATTTATGCTGTATTTAAGAGAATTATATCCCTAATTACAACAAATAGATTATATATATATATATATAATGTAATCTAATCTAATGTTAGATTTTTAACTCCTTAGAGCAACTCCAGCGTGCCCGGGCAAAGGGGGGGTTAGGCCCAAAACGGCCTTCTAGCGGACAAATGCTGCTCGGGCTGTGGTGGGCTCCACAAGCCTAGGCTAGCCCTTAGGCAGAATCAGCCCTCAGTCTAGCCTGGGTTTGCTGACGTTAGTGATGACGTCAGCAACAACAAAAAATATAAAAAATACTAAAAATTTCAGAATTTCAGAATTTTTTAAATATAAATACTTGGTCATATTTTTCACTTCCTACATCAAAACTCTATACAAATTCCTCTCGTCATATCTTATGTGAATAGTGGTTGCCATGGCAACGGGTGGAAACACACTTTGCTTTATGCAAGGGAAGCCACTATTCACATGAATAGTAGCTGCCCTAGTCCCTCTCTTGCCATGGCAAATGGCAAATGGGTGGAGTTGCTCTTAGAGCACTTCCACCCATTTGTCATGACAAAGGGCAAGAGGAAGTAAGGGTAGATACTATTCATGTGAATAGTGGCAACCCTTGCAAAAAGTAAGGTGTGTTTCAACTCATTGCCATGACAAAGGGCAAATACTATTCACTTTTTTTTTTTAAATTTATTTTTTATAATAACCTAAACAATTAATTTGGAGAAGATTTTCAGTTCCCACGTGTCAATATTTATTATAAAATTCATATCTCATAATTCGAATGAATTTTTCGGATAAAATTTTCGAATAAGATTCAAATTTCATATTCAAATATCAAATATCATATTTCATATAAGATTTCCACCCTCTAAAATCGCTCCAGATCTCATCTCTATCCTCTAAATCTCTCTATAAAACTAGAGGTCCAGCTCATATATCTCACACCAAATCTTCCCTATCTTTACATTTCTCATATTTTAGATTTCATACTCCACTCTAAATGCCAGACATGAGGAGATGCTTGGAGAGGCAAGCACGAGAAATTAAAGAAAGAAGGCGTAGACGAGCTGAAGAAAAAAGAGTGCAGCACGAAGAAGATGAACAAGTTGCCATGGCAGTGGGTTTGCTCGATCTAGAAAGCCAAGGCCGCAGTCGTGGTTCACAAGTCGGCCATGACCCGAACGTGGACAGACATAGGCATTCGCAGGGTAAAAATCTTTTGGAAGATTACTTTATCCCAAATTATGTGGACTCTAATGTTGATTTTCAAGGGCGATATAGAAAGCAACCTCATTTGTTCAATAAAGTCATGCATGATGTTTGCAATTACGATGCATACTTCTTTCAAAAATGTGATGCTGTTGGGGTTTTGGGGCTTCTTCCGGAGCAAAAGCTTACAACTGTTATACGAATGCTGGCAATTGGAGCATTTCCACCTGTCGACTAGAGCCTGAGCTAGAGCATTTCCACCCCTCAATGGCGTTAGCCATGACATCAGCTGCCTTCGGGCTAGAGGTCAGGCTGGTTTGTCCTGTGGGCTGGCTCGGTTACGTGGGACCCACACCTTGCCTTGGCAAGCTTGGCCTGCTGGAAGCACTAGCCTGAGTTGGGCCCTGTTTTGCTCGGGCTCCAGTCGATTGGTGGAAACGCTCTAGCATTCGTATAACAGTTGTAAGTTTTTGCTCCGAAAGAAGCCCCAAAACCCCAGAAGCATCACACTTATGAATGAAGTATGCATCGTAATTGCAAACATCATGCATGACTTTATTGAACAAATGGGGTTGCATTCTATATTGCCCTCGAAAATCAACATTAGAGTACACATAATTTGGGATAAAGTAATCTTCCAAAAGATTCTTACCTCGAGAATGCCTATATCTATCCACGTTAGGGCCACGGCTAACTTGTGAACCATGGCGGCGGCCTTGGCTTTCTAGATCAAGAAAACCCATTGCCATGACAACTTGTTCATCTTCTTCTTGCTGCACCCTTTTTTCTTCAGCTCGTCTACACCTTCTTTCTTTAATTTCTTGCTCTTGCCTCTCGAAATATCTACTCATGTTTGACATTGAGAATGGAGTATGAAATCTAAAATCTGAAAATGAAAAGATAGGGAAGATCTGGTGTGAGAGGTATAAGTTGAGTCACTGGTTTTATAGAGAGATTTAGAAGATAGAGATAACACATGGCACTATTTTAGAGGTTGCAAATCTTATCTGAAATTTGAAATTTGAATATGAAATTTGAATTTGAATTTGAATTTGAAATTTGAATCTTATCCGAAAAAATCATGTGAATTATGAGATATGAATTTTATAATAAATATTGACACGTGGGAACCAAAAATCTTCAAATTAATTGCTTAGGTTTTAAAATCTAAAAAAAAACAAAAAATGAATAGTATTTGCCCTTTGCCATGGCAATGGGTGTTGTAAATGCTGCCACTATTATGTGAATAGTATTTGCCCTTGCCCCCCCTTACCATTTGTCATGGCAAATGGGTGGAAGTGCTCCTACAAACTCACTTTTTTTTCCTGCATTCTAAAGGCTTGTTTGGTACCCTATTAAAAAAAAGAAGCTCAAAATTCATTATTTTTTTAAAAAAGGAACTCAAAATTTCTCTCTCATTTTTCTCTCACTCCCTTATCTGTGATCTACACAACCGTAGCATGCGTCTATATGTTTAGTATTACCTTTGAAGTAAAAAAAACCTCACATCACAAGCATTAAAATTTTCAAAATAAAGATCATTTGGCGTTATCATTCCAACCAATACCCACTTCACATTTTCTCTAACATGGTAACTGACTAGCATTAATTAGGAGCTCTCCTTTTTTTAAGAAGACTCACATTAAATTAACGTCATACGTATTTTATAGTCACATTAATTATTCTCATGTTGACTGATAAGACCACCGGTCAATGTGAGACCTTGACCTAAAGGGTGCATGGTTACGACAAGAATCAAAATGAAGACTTGAGGTATGGAAAAACAAAAAGTTATGTCTATGATATACTTTGATTTATGGAGCTTTAGTTTCAAACCTAATAGTGGAGCTTGGAATAGCAGAAAACCCAACCCTCTAGAAATTCAATTGAAAAACCCGAAGCCCATTTTCAAACACAAAACAACATTCAAAACACCTATAAATTACAAAATTACCACCAACAGAAGCCCAACCCAAGCTTAATTAAAAAAAAAGGCTTAAATGCTACAATGCCCCCTGAAACATTGGTCAATTCTCACTTTACCCGCTCAAAGTTAAAGTGACCCACTTTGCCCCTTTGACCAATGTTTCGTGTTTCACTTTACCACTTTCCATCAACGCCATTCCAAATTCCGTTAAACCAATGACGTGGTAGGGGTAATTTGGTCCATTCAACTGAGTTGGGATTTTTCCCACCAATCTGAGGGTGTTACGTGTACATGTGGACCCCACCTCTAACATCTGATATAGCTCCAACGTTCCAATTGATCTGAGCTGCCCATCAAACCAAAAAACCCCAAATTGGCTTCCTCTAAAACCCTAGAAATCAGAGGTTGGGTTCCAAGAAAATTGAAGATGAAGACTAAAATAGTTGACAGAGGGGAAGAGTTGGATGTGAATAGCTCGCTTACAAACTTCATGGACAGAGGCGAACCCACTTCGAAGATTCCATGTTTGTCCAAACTCATCAGGGGTAAGTTATGTTGTTGAAAGTTTGTGAATCTGGTTAAATTTTGTTATTAATTGGTATTAATAGTTGATGCACAGGAGGAAAAAAGGATGTGGGTTTTTTGTTTGGGTGGATGTTGAATTTCTACCTAGAGAGAAGGCTCTGGTGAGTTGGCTACTTAGAAGATTGAAGGAACTTAAAAAGGACGTTGGGCATCATCAAGCAAGAGAAAGAAAGTTAATGGGTTGGCTTATTCTTTCATGGGGTATAGTAATGGTGGTGTTATTTTGGCAATGTCTGTAACAACTTGGCACAAAATGTGGCCATTGCAATGAAGGAATTAGGCAGATTGTACAAGTTTGTATTTTGCAACTGTATGTAAAATATCATGTATTGGTAGCTATGTAATGATGGAGGAACATGGTTTGAATTTGCAACTGGATGTAACAATGCATTGGTACTTATGTAAGCAATGTGGTTGTTCAACACAAAGTATGAGTTACTTATTGGATTTTGACCTCATATGTAATGGTATGAAAAGCATTACCAAATCAACAGTACAACAAACACTTGCAACAGTTCATAACAGACAATCATGGGTTTTATAACACTGATCAAATCCTCATAGTTTATAACATTACTAATAAAGTTCTTAATAGTTGGATTCGCAAAATAATAGTTCAATAAAAAGCCCCATTTGAAAGAGTTGTCCTTAACACTTGTCCTTAACAGTTGTACGTGCAAAACAAAAGTGGAATGAAAAGGTCTTCATATGAGGCATCTTAACAAAACACAAAACAGTTGCACATGATCAGAATCTCCAAGGCTGATACCCATCCAACAAATCCTTCTGATTGGTAAATTTCTTCCTCTTGGCAGGAGATTTGAACATCTTTTTTCTTGTGCCACTGGCAAAAGGGTGTGATGAGCTTGCACTTGGTTGAGATCCTTGCACAATTTGAGAAGTTTGGGCAGGTTGAGAACTTTGGCCAGTTTGAGAAACTGGACAAGCTTGCACAGATTCAGTTCCTTGCACAGATTGAGAGCCTTGCAGAGTTTGAGAACCATACTTCTTGTTGGGAAATTTCATCCTCTTTGCAGGAGACTTAAACCTCTTTTTTTTTGGGAGTTTCTGAAGCTTGGCCACTTTGAGATGCTTGGGCAGTTTTTGAAGGTGAGGCAGTTTGAGATGCTGGGGCTGGGGCAATTTGGGAAGCTTGGGCTGTTTCAGAACCATGGGGAGTTTGAGAACATTGACCAGTTTCCAACCTTCTTCTCACCTAAAAATTGAAAAGGATTCCAATTTACATCAACTACATCTCATACCTCTTCCTCTTAATATCAATAAAAATAAAGTCACTTACAGGTTGCTTGGCTCTTGATTGTCTTGTAACCCTTTTGGTTGATGTCGTATCTTGGGCAGATTTCTTCACCTTTCTTTTACATGGGACCTAACATAAGAAGAGAATCACTTCAAAATAAATAAATAATCAAGATCCAAAACAAAAATGCATTGCCAATGTCTTTTTGGAAAATACAAACCTGACTGCTTCTACCTTCTTTTGCCTTAGGGCAGCTCCTCCTATTATGGCCTCCTTGTCTACAAAGTGAATAATTGGTTTCCAAGTTATACATGTGAAACCCCATATTTTAAAATATGTATATTAATATTTCATAAAATTAATTATTTATAATTATTAGTTTTCAAAACTATATATATATTAGTTAGTTGTATGGTAAGCTACGTGAATCTAGCTATAGCCTATCAAATCTCATTGTATGATTTTAACTATAGCAATTCATTCAATATTTATTCTATACACACAAAAGCTTTTAGAAAGGTATTGTTGATTACTAAGCTTTCTCTTAAGTGACGTGTTGCATTAGGGAGTCATCAAAAACCAATTGAAGCATGAGGTGGTATGTTTTGGTATGAGGTGTAAGAACAATAGATATTCATATATATATATATATAATATAAATGTAATTGGCAAGTGCTTACTAAGCACTCTCCAGAAACCAACACCTAAGACTAAATGGGGTGGCAGTTTTACCTTCAAGCCACCCATATAGTCTATAAATCCTAGGATGTAGTCTAGAGATCCCTAGGTTAGTTAGGTGGCATAATGTTAAGCTTCATCTATGTTTCCTTTACTGACTCTAACCTACTATATATAGTTCTAACTAATAGTTATTGAATCATAGGTTCTTCAAAGTTGTGTTAGTTTCTTAAAAATTCGAGAGTGAAAACTAAGTGTGTTAAGATTTTGGAAAAGCTCAACTGGGAGATAGCTTTGGATTTGAGGTAGGGGTTTTTCTTGGGGAAGTTTTGCATACATTGATTTAATTAAATATTGTAAACATTATATGATGCTTGATAATATTATTTGATTATTATTGTAAATCCTATATTATGCTTGGTTATATTATTTGATGGTTATCCTTGATATTGGATGTATACGTGTTGTCAATTATCATTATAATTTGATTAACATTGACATATTCATATGTTGTCGGCGGTGGTTGGAATTTTTGGGTTGATAAAGAAATTATGAAAAAAAGGATAATGGGAAGAATCTTTTGTGTAGTTGAGTCTGACCATTGTAGGGACCAAGTTCAGGCAAGCCCGTGTGCACAGTAGATTAGAAAATCGGTGGTATAATTGTCGATTGGGTGATTTGGGCTTGGAGATCAATGGTGTAGACAAGATGACTAGCAAAAGGGGAATTATTGGATGATTGAAATGGGTGTTAGTTTATATAATAGGGCATTCAGAATCACAGTGGTAAAATGCATGGTATGGGACATGTTGATTTGCTTGCCCTATTATATAGATTAACGAGTTAGGTAAAAATGAAGTTCATTCATGTATTGCATAAATTGTACATTATAAATCTCACTAATCACATAAGACATAGGACCCCTACTGAGCATGTAATGCTCACCCCTTATTGAATCTATTGCAGGCTTTGAATCTGAAGTTTAGTTTTTGCTGAGGAAACAAGAAGAACGAGTTGTGGATAGTTTTGAGTGTTATGTTGAAAGTTTGTTACTTTCTTGTTATTTTGCTTGTAATAGTACAATGTAAATTACTTTGACTTAAATAAAAGTTTATGTTTAATTTTCATGTTTCTTGATATTTAAATTTTTTAGTTTTAATTTTTCTTTTACCTCACATTCCCAAAAATAAATAAATAAATAAATAAAATAAAATAAAATTGGGGTGTGACAATACCTCTGCAACTTGGTGGCTGTAGGATTAGATTTGCTTGGTTGTTCACCTGCCGACCTAATCATCTTCTTCCTTAGTCTCCCAAGTTGTTTGTGATAAAGTGGTGGCATCAAAGGAGGCCTATGACACTTAGGCCACAAGTCTTCACTTGTCATTGGATGAACCATTGGACTATAAGCTCTTATAAAGGCCTCCTTCTTGTAACAAGCATCAACATAAGCAATATGATCCCCATTTAATTGGCCTATTACAGCACAAGCATGCTTGCATGGGATCCCAGTAATATCTCATATCCTACATGAACAACAATGCCGTGCCAAATTAACCACAACCTGACTTCCATCATGGTCTTTGACCTCATATAAACTCTCCCCAGCAAGCTTTGGAATGCACCAAGCTGATTCTTTCTTCGTTTTCTCCAAAATCTCAAAAATCCTTGGACTAATGGCATGTTTCCATTTCTCACAAGATGCTCTTCTAGTTGCCATCAACAACATAATATAGTATATAATTCTCTCTAGCATGGTTAAAATAGGTTTGTCTCGTACTTCTACAAGGGCACCGTTAAAAGCCTCACACATATTATTCAAAAGGATGTCACACTTGGAATGAGTTTTAAAGTGAGCTCTGCACCATTGTGATGGATCTAAGGCTGCCACCCAATCAAATGCAGCTTGGCTTAGTGTCTCATATTCTTCATCTCAGCATCCCACCATGGGATGCTTAAAAGTTCTCATATCCCAATTATGTTTTCTAGACAGTTGAGTAGCATATCTCTAAGCTAACCATGTTGAGTTAGCATGAAAGTTGTGATCAACTGTCCCATAATCATGCTCATCAACCAATTTCTTCACTTGAACCCATTCACTACCATTCACTGCTGAAGCAAAACAAACCCACTTACAATTTCCTGCACACACTGTCCTCACCCTATCACGATCATTTCATTTGAATTTAATCCCCTCCTGTTCACAATTGAATAGTTCCTAATTGCTTTCCTAAATAGGTCAGTGGTTGCAAACCTTAAACTCAGCTTAAACTCAAGGTTGGGCATGTCTGTTTCAGGCCTAAATTCTTGAAATTTGGGTTGTTTCTTCTTCCTTTTCTTCTGGTTCCCATCATCCTCATCATATGAGCTACTATCCAAACTCTCAACATCACTTTTAGCTACATCAGTTGACTCCCGATCTTCATCTACAGGGGCATTTGGGTCTTCAACTACTTCTGGCTGGTCTACATAATTTTCAAATGCTTTATCGTCCTTTGTCAACAACTCACATTCATTTTCACTCTGCTCATAAGCACTGTCAACAAAATCAGGGTCTTCTTCCTTGTCTTCTTGTTCACTGCCTTCATTGTCTTCACTATCTTCCATATCAGTGTCACCTATATCAACCCTACTACCCTCATTATTCAGGGGCCCATTATCATCACTTGAAACCCAGTCTTCAACTCTGCAAGCAGGCCCATGATCCTCAGTAAAAGGCCGACCCTCTTTATCATTGTTCAGTGGCCCAATGCCTTCAGTATAAGCCTCATTTTCATCACTAAAAGGCCCAATATTCTCACTATCCTCATTTAATGCCACAGCTACCTCTTCAGAATCCTCATTCACTGCAACACATTCCTCTTCAATGTGTTGTACATAAATCAGCACCACTCTCTTATAAGAAAGTGGTACCTTATCACACAAACTTAATAGCTCAACATCCTTGTCTATATCTACTAACTCATCATTTACTACTCCTTTAAGAGATACTTTCCCCATGTGCCCAAGCAGTTTCACTTGCTCCCACATCTCTAGCATATTTATATACTATACAGTACACCAATCCAAATATCCTACAGACCCACCAGTATAACACCACTTATTCTGTTTGTTTTTCACAATTCTGCCACCATGATGCACTTCAAAAGTGACCAATATATTCTTTGTCCTCTACATAGAAACAAAAAGGGTTTGTTTTTAACAAAAGCAAAATAGTATTCTAAGCCACTTATTAAAAGCAAGACAACAACCATGGTTCAATTAACATATTCAAAGCCAACTAGAAGAAAACAAAAACATGACCACATCAGGAAAGGTATACTGCTTTAGAACCCCCTCTGCCGACAACATATAACACAAAAATACCTAAACCCAATCAATTTCTACAAAATGCGCATCACTATCATGTCAAGATTCTTTTCCACGTCACAGGACAAGATTCCTTTTCAGAAGAATCACTTACCGTACACAGGTTGCCCTGCTCCTGCTTCTCGCCAAACGGGCATCGTTGTCGAGTCTCGCGTCGCTTCTTCTTGCCTTCAAGTTGTCGAAACCAACTGAGAGCACTCTCCCTCTCTCAATCCTTATTCTCAAACCCTAGCTCTAAAATCCCAAAATCTCTACTTTCCCTCCCAATCTAATTTTTTGTTTTAATTTTTGAGTTCTTTTTTTTTATTGTCGTGGCTGTTTTGTTAAAGATGGGTCCCCAATTCCACATCAGCAGGCAATCAAGCCGTTGGAGCTATATCAGATGTTAGAGGTGGGGTCCACATGTACACGTCACACCCTCAGATTGGTGGGAAAAATCTCAGCTTAGTTGAATGGACCAAACTACCCCTGCCACGTCATTGGTTTAACGGAATTTGGAATGGCGTTGACGAAAAGTGGTAAAGTGAAACACGAAACATTGATCAATGGGGCAAAGTTGGTCACTTTAACTTTGTGGGGGTAAAGTGAGAATTGACCAATGTTCCAAGGGGCACTGTAGCATTTAAGCCTTAAAAAAAACCCAAACTAAATTACAAGAGTGCAAGAATTCTATAGTGAATGGTCGTTTGATATAGTGGACTGTCATGGACTGGACTAAATCCTGAGACTATTTTGGATTAGCTCGGATTGGTCTAAGCTGGATTAAGTACTGACATACGTTTGGTGCTGCATCGGACTAAGAAATTGGATTGTAAAAATAGTGAAGACCTATGTTCGGTGCTGTGTCGGACTAAAAAATAATTATTTTAATATTTAATTTTAATTAGAAATTTTAACCTAAAAATAAATATATCAAATATATATATAAATATATATAACTTTAAAAAAAATTAAATTAAAAAATTAAAAAATATAAATGTAGTGTAGTATTTTGGGCTTTCTTTTTTGATTCTTTATATTTTTAGGCATTATAAGGTTTAGAGAACAGGTTGGGCAAAAGGTTTGATAAACAATATCAGCAGTTAATTTTGAGAGCACATGTATTTTATTTTATTGAATTTATGGTTTGTGACTCAAAGTTTTCGAATTGGGTTCGAGACCAAGCTGCTCTTGCTGTTCTTGGTTTGGTTAAATTCAATAAGAATGTTTTTGTGGGATTGGTGTTGATGGGTCCGATTGTTAGAGCTTTAATTCAAATGGGTTCATCTTGTTCGATTCAAGTCCTCGCTGGACTAGTCAAAATCATCAGAACCCCTCTGGTTGATGACATCAATGGAGAAATCCCAAGAATTATCAGCCTCCTGGGCTCTGAAGACTTGTCAACTAAAGTGGCAGCCATAAATTGCATTCTTGAAATTGCGTTTTTGGGCAGAGAGGAAGTGATTGGTTTAATGCTTGAAGAACACCTGATCAAGAAGCTTATGGGTGTGCAGAGATTGGAGGTGGGTTTGCAGTCCAATGAGGACGAAATGGAAGTGTTTGTGTGGAGGAGAAAGAGCCAAAAATGGAGGAAAGTGTGGAGAAATTTCCATTTTCAAGGTGGGTGGCAAGTTTTGTAGTGCAAGTGGAAGTTGGGGAAGGATTGGAGCAGAGTGAGAAAATAGCTTTTAAATTGGAAATACTGAAGAGAGTGAGAGAGGCCTCTGTTTCTGATGCAGAGGCAGCTACTGTTGTTGCAGAGGTGCTGTAGGGTTCTTCACCCAAAGAAGAAATTTGGGGGGAGCGCTGGGCGTTGGGTTCTGCCACAGTCCGTTGATTGCGTCTGTGATGGTGTGGTTTTGATTCAAGCCATAAGCAAATCCATCGGACTCGCATGTTCAAAATAAGACGCTCGCTATTTTGTGAACCCAATTTTGGGCTCTCTATATTAGACACACGAGTCCGGATTTTTTTTTTATAACTATTGGATTATAGAGTCTTATTTAAGTTAATCCCCTCCTTTGCCAAACATAGGTTTCAAGTTTTATTTAACACAGTCCAGTCCAGTGAGGTATAGTGAGGCATACCAAACATGCCCGAGGTTCTTATATAAGGCCTTTAGATGAGGCTCTATCTCTTAACCGTCGGATCAGATTGGTTAGCTGTTGAATCAAATTAGTTAGTTTGATCCAACGATTAAGAGATAGGACCTCACTTAAGGCTTATATATTGGGCTTTAAAAACCCAAAATGAACCATGCCACCAACTTTTATAATCAAGCCCATACCCAACTTTAAAAAAACCCAAACCACAACATGCCCAAACAGAAAAAGAAAAAAAAAACGACACAAAAGAAAAGAGCCCAAACAAGGATCTGTACAGAAAGCAGGCAAAAAAAAAAAAAAAAAAAAAAAAAAAAAAAAAAAACTAAGGTTTGGTATTCTACTACTAAAAAAGTGAACTAAAAAACCATGATTCTTTTACAAACATGAATTTTCAAATACAATATTTAAAAACTTGTTTGGTATTGAACTTTAAAACTTGTTCCAATTGATTATCATTTTTAAAATTTTAAATTTAAAAAAAAAGTAAAGAAGAAGCCCATTACCTCTATTTCTACCTCTCTCTCTCTCTTGATCTGATGAACCAATGAAAATTTGGGTTGTTGAGATCTAGGTCGTTAACATCGTTGTCTTTCATCAGAATGGTCTCGATCTCGCCGATCCAATATTGGGTGAGTTCAATGGAGCCTCCTCCACCATTGATGACTCGATCGATGGTGAGAGAGAGAGAGAGTGAGAAAAAAAACTCATCTCCAAATTGAATATCTTCATAATATTGATGCTAGAAGTGGGTCTATACCTAAAAAACTAAGGGATCGTTTGCTTCTCTAAGAAATACTTCTGCTCATAAGTGCATCTAACAAAATCACTTTTATTAGAAAAATCTTGAATTTTCATATAAAAAAATCTAAGTGCTTTAGCACTTGGGAGTGCTTCCTCCATAAAGCGATTCTATGATCCATAAATGCTTTTAAACTTTTTTATCAAATGCAGTCAGAAATACTTTTAGTTGTCAGAAAGTGCTTTTAATCTTTCTAGAAGCACTCCTAAAGTAATGTATGCAAAGGAGCTTAGAGCGTGAAAGGTAAAGAGTCAGCCCCTCCTCCATCAAATGGGTCTTCTATTTATAGGCGTAGTGCTAAGAGCACTTCCACCAGTTAGCCCCTTGCCATGGCAAGGGGAGCCCTAGGGCAGCTACTATTCATGTGAATAGTGGCTGCCCTAGCTCCCCCCAAGCAAAGTGTGTTTCCAGCAGTTAGCCCCTTGCCATGGCAAATACTATTCATTTTTTTGTTTTTTTTCACAACTTTGTTTATTTAAACAATTAATTTGGATAATATTTTCGGATAAGATTTTTGGGTTCCTACGTATGAAAAATCATTTTCTCAAGATTTTTAGCGGAGGTGCAATATTGACTAAGTATGAAAAATGGTTTTTTCGAAATAATTATTTTCTCAAGAAAATTTTTGGCGGCTTTTATTCCTTACACATCAAATAAGAAAACTTGATTTTATGGGATTTTAATATGAAGTATATATTGACTTAATGAGCCATCATTTTTAGCCTAAAACGTATTTTCACTAAAACCGATTTTTCATATTTTGATTTGGTGGGAATTTGATTTTCTAGTATTTTTATTTGATGGGGGGGTACTTCCTTATTTACATTGTAAACTTAAGTAAATGGAGTAATATAAAATAAATAAAAGTAAAAGGACAAAGACATTTACTTAAATGTAAATGGAGTAATATAAAAATAAATAAAAGTAAAAGGACAAAGACATTTACTTAAATGTTGAAAATGGAAATAAGGTATAGAGAGAAGAAAAAAAAAGTAATTTTTTGGTTTTTTTCAAATTTTTATTACAAAAATATTGGTTGTTGATGTTAAAAGTGAAGAGTATTGGTTGGTATTTATAGAAAACAATTTCAGTATTTTTTTGGTATTTTTTTTCATTTTTTTTATTGGGCAAACAATTCCCTGTCGTTGGATGGCTGGAAAAAAAAAATCGGAAAGCCCAGAAGCTTCCACGTGGCCAGAGCCGTTGGGGCTTGCTTTTTCCGATTTTTTTATTCACGAAAAATGGCTGCCGTTGGATATGTTTAAAAAGCTGATCGAATGGCCCAGCAGACGACACGTTGAAGCACACGCGCCAACGTTAAAAAAATTTAAACTCCAGCGCTGACGTCGGCCCAAAACGAGTTTTGCTACTTGGGCTGGACCTCCCCAAGGGCTAGCCCAGGCAAATTTTTTTTGCTGGGGCCCACACCTTGCCCTGGCAGATTTGTGTTGCTAGAAACACCATTTTCCCCCAACCCTCCCCCAAGGCTCCTTGCTGGAAATGCTCTAAGGCGGTATGCATGGCCTGGGTAGGCCCGTCCCACTAGACTAAACAAGTGGGTTCTAGTAATTCGTCGCCTTCGAGTAGATGCCCAGTCAGAGGTCAACAAGTAGATATTCATGAGTGCCTTCTGCGTGGCCCATTGGTAATCATACATATCATCTTAATTGGTCGCGTCCCAATCAATATTAATTTGTACTGCATTTTATTGCTCTGGGTTTTTAGTGTAGAACTTATTGGATTGATTAACCAATTGAAATTTAGTCGTAGTTCAGAAAGCATCAACTTGATCCTGAGCAGCTGAACTCCTTCGCCATTGCTGGCGGTTATGTAACCAATTGAACTTAGTCGTGGTCTAGTTCCTAGTTTGGCCCTAGCCTGCTTTGCTAATTCAATAAAAGGTTTATTGGTTTGTTTATACATATATTCTTTCTATACGAATGATATCGTAAAATGACGGAATTGATGACACATAATATAACCACTTGAGCTCAAGCTCGTTGCTTTGTTTATGTTTTCGTAAAAGTATATGTATTTTAATTTTTCGACCCTGCGCCTTAATCTTAGAAAAGACCATAACTTCGCTTCAATTTTGTTCGGTGAAAGGAATTTTGTGTTTTCCACCCCAAAATTCAACCACGCCCTAATTAAAGTCTATTGCTGCCAGTATAATTCCACTAGTTTGGGCAATTCTACTCTAACTGGCAAGACCCGATAGTATGAATTCTTCTGCTTTAAGAATATGTATATTCCACTTTCAAGCAGGTTGTTTTCAACTCAGAGGCACCAATTTCTTTGCAAATTAATCATCATATATATAGTTGGGGGTGTATCAACTTTCGGTCTCACTTTCTTTTATTAAGCTTTTATTTATTTATTTATTATTTTTATATTTACTTCTTTTGGTCTCACAAGATTTCTACAGTTGGGAAATATTCCTTGTGCATCGTCATATTATTAGAGGAAACTTAGAAAGCCTTGTAGCACACAACTCTTCTTTATTTCTTTTCCATCAATAATTGCAATTTAATATTTGTCTCATGCCAATCACATTACTCACTACCTAATATCTTTCACAATGACTTTTTGGTGCTCACGGGACCTCATTTTTAAGTCTTTAGGTGAGCGAGGCCGCTATTACCTAATATTTCTTCTTCTTCTTTTTTCGGTCGTGCACCTAATATATCCATTTACACTATCTTGATAAAATTATATCCTATTACAATTTACAATAAATAGTTTTTTATATATAATTATTATATGTAATTTAAATTTACTGTTAGATTTTTAATTACTTACAAACCCACTTTTTTTCTTCTCATATTTCTCACTCCACTATCTTCCACCTACACAACCATAGCGTGGGTCCTATATTTTTAGTATTATCTTCGAAGTAAAACAAACCTCACACACAATCATTTTCCAAAATAAAGGACCATTTGGCGTTATCTTTGCAAGCAATCGTGTCATGCCACTTCAAAATTTTCTCTGACATGGTAATGGACTCGCGTCAAGTAGGAGGTCTCTTTTCAGGAAGACTCTTCTGTGGCGTTACTAAATTAGCTTTTTCTGTGCAGTTTTCCGTGACTCACTTTGTCCTCTTATTACAGAGTGGGTCACATTGATTCATTGCAATGCGGGACCCTCATCACTATACTTCCCCTTCTTCTTTTTCTGCAGCTTAAACTAATAAGCTAACCTTCCTCGTAGGGAACTTGTGTGTGAGTCGTGACACCACATGACATGACAACATAAAAGGTTGTCGATAATATTATTTGTACTTACATTTATTAACCATTTTTTTTCAATACAAAAAATACTAATATCATTGTTTAAAGTTCAGAATTTAATGTTAACACCATACGTATAATTACGTCAACATGTCAAGTGGTATTACAATCACAACAAAAAAACTCATGACAATCAGCCACTTAAGCTTTCCCCTTCACCGCAGCATTCCCTTCTCCCTTCTATAAATTGTGCAGTAAGGCCCTTCCCTAATGCACCATTCTGTAATCTCTCTCACTCTCTCTCTCTCTCTCTCTCTGAATATAAGTAATTAAATAATTAATAGATATAGAATTTTAAAATGATGAAATTGTCATGCTGTGGTGTGGGGCTGTGTGTTGTGGTGATGATGACGATGGTGCTAGGTGAAGAAGCAAGGATGACAGAGGCAGTGACATGCAGCCCATTGGAGTTGAGCTCATGCTTGGAACCAATTAGGTCTGGGACACCTCCTTCAACCACATGCTGCCAGAAACTGAGGGAGCAGAAGCCTTGCCTTTGTGGATATCTCAAGGACCCAGCCCTCAAGCAATATGTCAGCAGCCCCACCGCCAGAAAAGTTGCTACCGCCTGTGGTGTTCCCTTCCCTCAATGCTAAATTAATTACCAATATTAATCACTCCTTAAATATAAAATTAAGTAATAAGAATGATGACTTCATTAATGTCATTGTTCAAGACCAGCAATCATGATACTATCAATTGTGCCTGGAGAATAATGGGATGTATGTTATATGGTTAAAGAAAATAAATAAATATCAGTGTAATTGACTTCTGAAATATGCGGTTTTGCTTCATTTAGCTTGGCTGCCATTTGAATTTCGTTTTTTATGAAGTCAATTCAATGGCTCATAGATTAGCTCGATTTGCTGTAACTTTATTTTAAGTGCCAATGTGGTATGGGGACCCTCCCAATATCATCATGATGTCTTAGTTGAAGATTGTCCCTAATGTTTCTTTCAATAAATCATTTTTTTCTTAAAAAAACATATATAATATGTGGTTTTAAATGAATTGAAATTTGCATTACCAATTTATTTATGATTAGCATAATGTAATAAGTTAATTGTAAATTAAACTTGTAAAAATCGCCAATATGCCCAAATTCATTGATCTTTGATCTGAGCATGCAAGAGCTTTGTTGATGTCGTCAGATGAATATGTGAGCTAGAATTGTTGATGTCACCAAATATCATATTCAGTGAAGTTGCATTTCCTCCATGCTACGGCGATGATGTGGTGGATGGTATTGTTGTCCGGTGAAAGACTAAGGGTTAGGTTAAAGACGGTAAAACTAGGGTGATTATTTGATTAGGATTAAATATGGTGAGTATGGTGTATTTATTAAAATTACATTTATTTCACAATTCAATATATCATTTTTGGTCATTTTATATTAGGATAAATTAGTAATTCAATAAATAGTTTGGTATCAGGATGTACTTGATTAATTTTAGAATTCGTTTAATAGCACTCATTCAATAAATAGACATGTATTAATAATAAATTGCCCGTTTTAGACTTCAGAGACATAATAGGAACAATAAATTAAAACAAAAAATAGCAAATACACAAATATAACTCAGCACATTAAAAAGTAGAACGTAATTCTACGTGGCATGATAGTCAAAAGACTTGAATCAACAACTACTCTTCTGCGTGGATTACACCCAACTTCGGTCACCAAAATTCAACTTATGCCAAATTTTGTAATCCCGGTGTGAATGTGATCCTCCCACGCGAGCGAGTGTGTTGAAGAAGACTTATGAAAATCAGCCACTCAGTCTTCCCCTTCCCACCACGGCATTGGCTACTTCCTTCTATAAATTGTGCAGAAGGAGCGCTTCCCAAATGCACCATACTCTCTCTCTCTAATCTCTCTCTCTCTCTCTCTCTCATAAATTATTAACTAGTGCACTTTGAATTAAGATGATGAAGTTGTCATATTCAGGTGTGGCACTGTGTGTGGTGGTGATGGTGGCAGTGATGCTAAGTGAAGAGGCAAGGATGGCAGAGGCAGTGACATGCAGCCCAGTGCAGTTGAGCCCATGCTTGGGCCCAATAAATTCAGGGGCACCTCCTTCAACCACATGCTGCCAGAAACTGAGGGAGCAGAGGCCTTGCCTTTGTGGATATCTCAAGAACCCAAGCCTCAGGCAATATGTCAACAGCCCCAACGCCAGAAAACTTGCTTCCAACTGTGGTGTTCCCGTCCCTCAATGTTAA